AAGCCCTGAACCAGCTGTATTTCACGAAACTGAACGGGACAGAGAAAAACAAGGCAGGGCAAGGCTGGACCAGTTATCCCCCGAGGAGGAACCCTGAACTGTCTCCACTTTGATTACTAACTTGCTTTGTGATCTTGAGCTAGTTTCTTGGGCTCTCTCTGCTTGTTTTCCCATCAACAGAGTGAGTGTGATACCTGGCACGTAGTCAGTTCTTAGGAAATATCTGTTTAACGAACGAGTGAGAGGATTGAACTGGGGTCTCCTAAACGCCTTAGCCGATGGGGGAGTACAGCCTCTGGGCCCTGCACCTGGGTGGCAGCCCGTCTGCACATGTTCCCAGATGTTCAGACGCGGCCAGCTTAGCTCTCTGTGCCCCATTTTTCTCCCCCTGCAAAGTGGAGCCCATAATAGTACCTACCTCATAGGATTGTTGTGAGGTGTAAACAGGGAGGCGATACAATTTATCCCCTGACATGGGGCCATAGTGAGAGTGAAAGGAGTGCTGTTAATGGCCGTGCTCACATAGTAGGCCCACCAGGCCACGGCGTGAGGGGGCTGCGGTGAGGCAGCGCCCGGAGTCAAGCTCCTCCTGTGCCGCCCCAGCAGGCAGAACGCAGAAGGCCCCTACACGGAACAACTCACAGTGCGCCGCTCGGGCTGGGGCGGGGCGCTCGCGGTGCCCTCTCCCCTCTCCTGTGCCTCAGAGGTCACACAGGCCCTGGGACTCTGCAGAGTGGCTCAAAAACCTCTCTAAGTCAGGGATAGGGAGAGTCCTTCTGGGCGTTGGGACCAGACGTGTAGTTGTCCTGAAAATGCATTTTGTGCAGAGCACACGCTCAGGGTGGTTCCTTTCAGCTCTCCTGGACCATGGGTTATGATTCCCTGATCTGCTGGCCCTCTCCCCAGTGTCGCCAGGTGACAGCATAGACCTCACCGCCACCCCCCACCCCCACACCCCGCCAGTGCAGAGCTGCCTCATCCTGATGCCGAATTTCCCATCACCCTTTGACTGGTGCCGAGCAGATCCGCTGCCCCCCACCGGCTGCATGGGTTGGGACTTCTCTTTCCCCATCCCCCATCCCCCATCTGCACAGGCCACGCTTGTGGGCTCGGGGGTGGGATGGGTCCTTCCTCTCCTGGAGAGCGAGGGTTCCTGCCACGTGACTGATGGAGAAATGGAGGCAGTGTGCTGAGTGATCTGCCCGGGCCGGAGGAGGGGAGCCTTCTGGAACTCTACCCGCTCCATGCCCCAGGGAGGGGGACAGGGCCCCAGGTGGCAACAATATGGAAAGGACTGGGCAGGTCTTTTTCCCAGTCTAAGTCATACATGCACTAGGAAGGGTCCAGGGTGGGATGTGTGGCTAAACGGGTGTGGGGCCCAGGCCTGGGCAACTTGGAGGATTAAGGGGCCAGAGGGCTGGGTGCTGGTGGGATTAAAGTCCCTGCGGAGCCTCCCCCACCGGGCCCCTCGCAGCCCTTTTCAAGGCTGAGGCAGGCGGGCGGGAGCTATGGGGGGCAGGCCCTCACTTTGTGCCTCTGCCCCTCTGCCTCCAGCGTCCCTCACTCAGGCTGAATGTGGACTTGGCCTCCCCCGCCCTGCACAGCGCCGGCCCTATTCAGGAGGCAGCTGCTGGGATGAGGCCCACTCCTGGCTCCCCGTGGGGCCCCTGCCTGCGGCCCATTCACAGCCTCTTTCCTCCGGCTGCCCTGCCGCCCCCCGCCCAGCCCTGGTCAGGCTGCCTCCAACCCGCCCAGCCAGACCTCACCCCGAGAACGCCCCCCTGCCGAAAGTGGGTGAATCCAGGCCATGGGACAGAGAGCTTTGTATCCCCAAAAGCTCCAAGCCAGGGTGCTGGTGTGGTCTCACCCCCCATCGCTGGCCCTGAAGGAAGTATGTCCCCAAGGGACAGCCAGGCGCCCTTCACAGGAGTGCTCCCTGCTGTGCTGTGAATGAGGTGCTGGAGCTGGACTCCGGGAGACCCTGGGACCCTGAGGGCGCTGCCCTGCGTTTGCCTCGACCCACCGTGACCGAGGAGATGCCACCCTGCTTGATAGATGAGGTGATTACAGCTCCAGATGGTTACCCTAAGTGACACAAACTGGTTAGTGGCAGAGACAAGATTGGGATTTTGCCTTCCATCTCGCAGCCTCTTTCAAAGCTCCCAGCTTCCTTCCCAGGCAGTGGGTCCTGCCTCCCCCCGCCGCCCCACACATCCTCTCTGGGGCTCTCTCTGTGTTTCTTCTCCCTTTACTGCCCACTCTCTGCCTCTCTCCACCTCCCACCTGCCCCTGTGCCCCGTGCCCACTGTCAGCCTCTGCTCTTGTCCCCATCGTCCCAGGTGTGTGTGTGGGGAGGGGGCTGGAAGGCATCCTGTGTGCGTTTGTGGAGCCCAGGCAGCTGGCCCCATCCCTGCCTCTCCCTCCCCGCTAGTCACCCTCCTTCATCCCTGAGGCCTCATTATTAGGGTAGCGATGACCCCCATTGTCTGGCCTGTCTGGCTCTGGCACTGAAAGGTAGGGTTTGGCAGAGAAGGGAGGCTCGGCCTGATTCCAGCTCATTCTCTGCAGTCTGGAGCCTGTAATGTGCTTGGGGCAGGACTGGCAGGCCCTGGTGGGGGCTGGGGGCTTGGGGAGCCATAGGGCAGCCCCTGTGACTGAGACAACAGCAGGGAGTCCGGGAGGGGGAGCTGGGGAGCAGGTGGTTCTTTGTCTGGAGCAAGAATGAAGGAGAGGGGCCCTCGCCTGATCTCAGCCCCTCCACCCCACGGCCTCCAGCCCCGAGCCCCGAGGCAGCCCCCGAGAGGCAGCCTCTAGACAGAATTGGTATCTCTGCTCCCATCAAACGTGAGGCCATGGGGCTTCCTCCCTCTGGGCTGAGGCAGGAGGGACTCCATGCTGCCCTCCAGCAGTGCTCACGGGGTGGGGGCGAGAATGGATTTTCCCAGGACCAAGGGCTGCTCTTAACCCCCACTCTCATCCCTCGTCAGCCCACCCAGCTCGAGGGCCTTGTGCAGCTAGGCCTGACCAGTGCGTCCCCCACGGGGGGATGGGTGGGGCCAGCACCACAGAAGGAGCCCCTGCCTGGCTGACTCGGCCACGTTGCCTGGAGGCCATGTTGCCCTTCCAGGAGTCACTTTCCCGTTGGAGCCATAAGGAGGTGAGAACTGTTACTTTTTGAGGCTCCTTCCCATTTTAAAAGTCTGTTTAGAAGGGCCGTTGAGACTCCTTGAGCCCCTCCTCTCCTGGGTCAGCACCCAGCTCCTTGATCCTCCCATGTTGCTTCGGAGCAGCAGGGCAGACAGTCCCGGGGGCCGAGGGCCTGCGGTGAAGCTGCCTGGGCGTGGAGCCCTGGCTCGCTGGCCGCGGGCCCTGTGCCCACCTCCCAGGCCTCTCTTTCCTCGTCTGTAATACGGGCTAACAGTAAGATCTACCTCATATGGTTGTTGGAGGAAGTCAAAGAAATGATACACATAAAGCGCTTGGAACAGTATTTGGCCCCCTGAAAACACCAGTATTAGGTATTTTTATTCTGAAAGGCCTTTATCAGGCAAGGGTAGCTGAGTTTTCTGAAATGTTCTATCACGTGAACCACATAGGTGTCATCCCTGAAACCTGGTGTTTGGGCTGGAGGGAGGGGACCCATACAGATTTTTCAGTAGGCCTCCTTGGAGACGCCCTCTGTTGTTGAGTCCTGGGGAGGACTGGAATAGTCCCTGACTTGTGACTCTTGGCTCTTGCTCCTGGATTGCCTTAGAAATGCTGCGCACAGAATCAGCCTTCCTAAAATAGTCCTCACGGGCCTTATCTAGAAAAGGGGGAAATGTGGGTTTGGTCTTCTGGGCACCCTTGTCACACATGTGGATGTTGTGGCATCTGTTGCCTTTTAAAATCTCAGCAAACCACTGCAGCGTCTCCAGGGCACAGTGAGCTTGTGTGGGGAAGCACCTGTGCACAGGAAAGCTCTCGGTATCCACAGGAGATGGTGCGCGTCATTGCCAAGCAGGGTGGGTGCTGTGGGGGGGGGGTGTTGAGTGGGTTCTTCAAGGAAACGGGGACCATGGAAGAGGGATGGAAGGGTTGTGGGTTTCTCTAGGAGAGATGAAGAAAATCCTTTTTTCACTGAACTGATGAGACTTTCCTTGAAAAATTAGCACCTATTTTTTATCTGAACATCCACTGTTTATTCACCCAAATAATCTTTACTGAGAGCCGCTTCTGCCGGGCTCTGTGCCTAAGCACCGGGGATGTGAGTGACGCTTCCTTTGAGGAACCAGCAGTCCAGTGAGGAGTTGAAAGCAGAGAGCAGCGCGGGGTGGCGGCTGGAGGTCCTCTGTCCAAGGTGGGGGGCCATCACTGAGGGGTGCCCTCCCAGAGCCAGGGACATCCAAGGAGCTGGGGAGGGTGAATCAGGGTCTCCCAAGAGATGAGGGAGAAAGGAATCCTAGGAAGAGGGACGCATGTGTGCACAGGGTAAAAGGGCGATGCCAATAAACAAACGGCACGCAGAGCACAGCACCGTTGGAGAGCCCTGCCCGCCCCGTGTGTGGGGCTCTGCGCCTGGCAAGGCCGGCCCCCTGCTCCGCTGGCCTCGAGTGTCCCCGGTCCCCGGAGTCTCTCTGGCCCCAGCCCAGAAGTCCTTCCTCCTCCTCTGCGCACTGCCTGTTCATTCCTGCTTTCCCCTGCCTGGAGTCAGGAGTAAGGGCGGAGAGGAGGGAGTTGAACCTCTCTGAGTCTCAGATTTCTTCTCCACACACCAGACAGCTGGATTAGGTGATCTTGAAGGTCTCTAGGGCCTTCTAGGATTTTCAGTGGTTGTCCAAGCCCTGTTTGAACGTTCCCCCTGGGGGCCTTGGACACATCCCAGGTACCACCTGGGCCTCTGTTGGCAGAGGGCTGGGGACAGGAGCTGGCGAGTGGTGGTGGAGGCGGGGCGCCTGGGGCAGTGCTGAGGGGGGATAGAGGCCCACTGACCCCACTGCGTGTCTGTGCTTCTCCCTCAGTGTGACCCTGGGAACACGGGCTACATCAGCACAGGCAAGTTCCGCAGCCTCCTGGAGAGCCACAGCTCCAAGCTGGACCCGCACAAAAGGGAGGTGCTCCTGGCTCTGGCCGACAGCCATGCGGATGGGCAGATCTGCTACCAGGATTTTGTCAACCTGGTGAGTGCCCTGGGGTCCTTGCTTCTGGGAGGGGCCTGTCTGGGCTGGGGGTTGTGGCTTCGAGAACCTTGTGGACAATTCAAGGGATCTCTTGGCCCACATCATCGAAAAAGTCCAGGCTTCAGCGTGGTATCGCCAAGGACCCAGTTTCTCTTTGTCTCTCGGTTCTGCCTTCTCAGTGCCCGCGTACACTCTGAGAAGCCTCTGGCAATTCCAGACCCTCCTAGTGTGGCAGCAAAGTGGCTGCAGCTGTTCCAGCTCTCGCACCATCAGGCCTCACCATCAGGAGAAGGGAGGAACCCTTCTTGTGATAGCTCCCTCACAAAGGGTTTCCTCTGTTCCATTGGGCCAGATAGGGTCAGTTGGGATGAGTTGATTGACTCAAACCAATCAGTACCCATCTCTAGAGCTGGAAGTGGCATCAGTTCCACCAAAGCAAAGGGCTGGGAGTGGGCGGTGGGAGGGTATCATTGGCAGGAGGGGGCCTGGGCCGTAGATGTGGGCGGATCAGGCCAGGCCTCTCTAGGAGCCTTGAGGCACACAGGTTAAGGCCAGAGCTCGGCAGACCCGCTGGCAGATGTTCTGGGTTGTTGGAGGGACTGGAGACAGGAAGCCCGTGGGTCCTGCCCACTGGCCTGCTGTCTTCGAGTATCCCGCTGGGGGTTACTGCTGTGTTATTACTGGGGAGAGATTGGAATGGGGTTCGGTGGGGTCAAGCAGGAAGCATTTCGCCTGCCATGGAATGGCTGGGTTGACGGTAGAAGACACATGAACCAACAGGATGAGCACAAGGCTGGAGTCTTGCGTTTGGCTTCCCTATTGAAATGGAGACAGTCACCTCTCTCCTGTCACCCATGGAGGGGGCGAGAGTGAAGCGACTGCTGTGAAGTTCACTGGTGCCAGTACCACTCACACCTGTCACTGTGCCAGCGGAGCTCTCTGCTGTGGATGCCCAGATTTTGGGCTTGTTTAAATTGCCTGTTAGCTGAAGGCCTGCCTTTGCTCGGAGATGAACATGAGTGCAGGGAGCAGCAGTGGATTCTACTGCAGTTCAGAGAGGACCCAGGGAGCAGACCTTCCAGAAGGCAGGGGACAGAGCTGAGCTCTGGAGGGTGGAGCAGTTGGGATCCACGGGGCAGGCAGTGAAGGCGAGCCATGTGCCTCAGAGCCCAGCAGTGCCACCAAAGACCAGGCCGCAGGTGGGAGCCCGCACAGGCTCCCTCACAGCCCAGCACAAGCGCATTGGCTGCTTACCCTGCTCGGCCCCAGAGTGGAGTGTGGGCCCGTGGGATGCTTCTCCCCAGCAAGTGGTTCGTGGGGTCCTCTGTGTGAACTCACGGTAGCAGGTTACTTGTTGCTGTTGGGATTTCTGTAAGTTCTGAGCTGGAGTGGCCAGCTGTCACCTGGATCCATGTGAGGTGGGCTGTCCTGGAGACCAGGACGAAGAAGGGGTCACCGGTGGGGGGGAGCTCTGGGTAGGACAGAGCACTCAGGGCCTGGAGACCAGCAGAGCTGGGTCCCTGTCCTGGCCCTGCCTTTGCCACACTCACTGAGAAAAGCTCCTCTGAGCCTGGGTTTTCCCCTTTGTAAAAAGAAGCCAAAGGGTACCTCCTTTAGGGTTGTTGCAAGGATTAAACAAGATGAAGTATTCAAAAGACTTGTTGTCTATAATATGTCTTCCAGCATATAAGCTCTGCATCCTTTGTGAGCGCTTCCTCACCCCAACCCAGGCGGAAAAACCAGCCTCGTTCAGAACCCCCACAGGGCTCTGCCAGGCCTTTCCTACAGCGCAGGCCACAGTACGTGACCGCTGGGAGGCTGGGCCGTCATGTATGGGCGTGCAGGCTGTGTGCTGTACGCGGATGCCTGGCAGAGGGATGGCTGGGGACTGAAATCCACACGGGCTATGTTCCCCAAGGCCTGGAATGGGTGCGTACAGCAGGAAGGAGAGGATCCCTTATCTAATGGCACAGAAGTGCCAATTACATGGATTCCTGAGTCAGCAGGTCTGAATTTGAATCCTGACACTGTGGTTTTCTAGCTGTAGGTTCTTGAGAACTTAGTCTCTCCAAGCTCTCGTCCACATCCTTATAACATGGGGATAATGCTATTCACCAAATAACTAAGATGACCCCCTCCCTTGCTGCTGTTGGCACATTGGTCTCTCCTTATAAGCTCTGTGAGGCCCAAGACCACGGTTACTACCACGCCCAACACAGTTCTAGGCACAGCATGGGTGCAGGTGAGTGGTGAGTACTTGTGTGCTCACCTGGCTCCTCCTGTTCTCCTGCTGAGCCCATCCCCACCCCGGGGCTTCAGGGCGTGGCCGTGGGTGTATCTGTGAGTGTTTGCATTGCATGCCCCTGTGCATGTGCACACTCAGAGACTGGGGGAGAGGCTGGTAAGAGTGGCCACACAATCCTTCACACGTGATCCATCTTGGGCTTGCAGTGCACACGGAGCCCAAGCCCTCCCTGGATGCACAGGACTCCTGAGCCACTGAAAAGAACCAGGCCCAAGCTTTCTAGATATGGCGGGAATGAGAATCGGGGCTCTTTGGAAGGGGTTCACCTGGGAAGGCCTCTTGGGGCTTTAAGGCAGATTTTAAAGATGAGAGAGAGCAGAATCCAGGATGGGGAAAGGACACTGAAGAGAGAGGGAGGCTCGTTCCACTGGCCAGGTCTGAAGGCAGGTCCCCCCATTTGCCTTACCCATGACAGGGCTTCAGACCCCTGCGCCTTGGTCTGGCTGGGTTCGCCTGGCCAGCCTTCTCTGGACTTCTGCCTCCGAGCTTAGCCTCATGTCCACTGCTGGGCCCACGGTCCCAGGAATATGTTGATGATCCCCACCCCAGCTACCTGGAACAGCCACTCGGGCAGTACCGTGGGTCCTGGGTTGGGAGGACCATGCCTGTATGACATCCCATAATAACGGTCTAGCATGTGATCATGGGGGGCAGGTGGGAGGGGACAGAGGCTTCAGGAAGCTGGAAGTCAGCGAGATGACCTCAGTTCTCTAGGAGCCAGGTTGACTCCCGGATGAGGCAGCCAGGGCTCTCCTGAGTCAGACAGCCTCAGGCTGCCAAGGGCAGGGTCAGTTCTCAAGCTAGGCTCCCATGAGGGCCCTCAGGAATGGAGAACTTCCACAGGCACAGCTTTGGGTTCTGGTTCTGGGGAGTCAGCAGGGGCTGCCCACCTCTTCCCATGCTAGTGTTTATGAAGATGCTAAGTCCTACTCATCCTTCAGTTCTCACTCAGATTTCACCTCCTCCAGGAAGCCCCCCCGACCACCTTGAGACCAGGCTGGGCTCCCTCCTGTGTGCTCCTGCAGTAGCCTTGATTGTGAACCATGATTGCTGGTTATTCATCTGTCTCGAGCCCACTGTATCATGTGTCTGGCTGTGTGCCTGACACTTAGTAGTTGCTCAGGAAATTGTGATGGATGGATGAGAGATGAGTGGATGGAAGGAAGGTATAGTGAATGTATGAATACAGGCTCAGGAGCCTGATGAGGTTTGAGCTTGATGGGTTCTTAAAACTCTCTGTGCCTTGGATTCCACATCTTGTAGAAGAGGGATATTCATAGTCCTTGTGTAGACTAGTTGTATCAAATGAACCAACATGTGAAGTGCTTGGAACAACCCATGACACGTAGAGCTCAGTGAATATTGCTTCTTGTGAACTACCTGCAGAAGAATGAGAAAGGCGAGATTAGGCCTGGTTGTTCTAAGGCTTGTGCTGGCTGGGAAAAGGGTTGGGGCTCCCCCGAGACCCTCATTCTGACCCTGTCCCCGCCCCCATTTCCTCTGCAGATGAGCAACAAGCGGTCCAACAGCTTCCGCCAGGCCATCCTGCAGGGGAACCGCAGGCTCTGCAGTAAGGCCCTGCTGGAGGAGAAGGGACTGAACCTCTCCCAGCGACTGATCCGCCATGTGGCCTACGAGACCCTGCCCCGGGAAATTGACCGGAAGTGGTACTATGACAGCTACACCTGCTGCCCCCCGCCCTGGTTCATGATCACAGTCACACTGCTGGAGGCAAGGACAAGGGTGGGGGAGGGACAGCTCAGCCTTGGCAGAGCTGGGGCCAGGGTGCTGTTTGAGGTCATGAGAGGAAGGGCAGCATCTTCTCCACTGATAGGCGGTGGTTGAGGAACCAACAGCAGCTGGCGCTGCAGTGTTATGAGATCACTATCTCAAGCAGTGTTCACTGCAATGACACCCCATGTGACCACTCGCCCAAACAATGGGAACAAAAGCAATATAGTAAGTTCACTGATTTGGGGGGTTTAGTCAGGCTAACCCATTAAAACCAGTTTATTTTAGTTCCTCCCCAAGTGAGTAGTGTGGACCAGATATTTGCTCCACCGGGTCTCCATCCTCTACGTGTGAAGCAGGAATAAACAGGCCTGCGCGCCTTCTCCCATAGGCCTCCTCCTGAGCCAGAGAATGGAACACAAAAGCATCACACACACACACACACACACACACACACACACACACACACACGGGAGGGAGTGTTTAGGAACAGGTAAACACTCCCTCCCATGTGTGAACATATTCTGAACATATTCTGAACAATGTTCTCCCCTGAGAGAATCATCCAGACCCATTGTTATTTTAAAAGTCTCTGGCTTTTGCAACAGAATCCAAAGGTACCCTTTCTGAACCAGTGCCCATGTGTGAGGAACTCTGAATTCTTTTGGCAGTTCAGCCTAAGAACCCGGGAGCCCCCAACCCCAGATCCTGAATGGATGCTCGGTTTCCCTTCGGTGTTTTATAATCTCCACTGTTTCTCTTCCAGAGACAGAGGCCTAACTACCCGCCTATGTTCTTGTAAAGTTCCTAATCAAACGGCAGGATCGTTAAGCCTCATGGCATTCTGTTTTGTTTGTTTGTTTTTTTCCCTAAATCAGAATAGCCGGTCTGCAGGCTAGAGCACCTCTTTTGTTAAGGCTTCATCCACGTACACATTGAAGTTGCAATTTTTCTGAGATATTCTTGGACTCCTTCTGCAAATGCTTACGGTGTTGGCCTATTTATTAACTTCTATCTGAGGACCAATAATAATGAGCTGCCTTGGAAGCTGTATTTGTTGCCAGGCCACCCTCATCCTATTAGGTGGACAGGACAGTTCCCCGGAGAGCCCAGGAGAGCCTGGCGCCTGGGAGCGCCCGCGCCATTCCAGGTTCAGCCCAGGCAGTCCTAACTCGACGCTAATTACAGCTGCCTTCACGGACGGCAGGCCTGGCACCCAGCGGTCTCCTTGTATTTTATCTCTTTCAAACCTCATGACCGCCCCTGGAAGCGGAGACATTCAAATCCTCATTTCTAAATCAGGAAATTGAGAACCAGAGAGTTCAAATAATTTGTTCAAGGTTACCCAGAGAAGCCAGATTTTGTGTCCAGATTGGTTTCAAATTTTCATAAGTCTCAGCTATGTAAACTCAAACCACCAATCTAAGAGAAAAATGTTGAAATAACGGCTTCAAAGTCCTTGTATAAGAGCTCAAGGCTTTTGTTTTACATACAGTCCTAGAAACCTGGTTTCCTGATTCCTTAACAGAGAGAAAATAGAAGGGACCCACTACTAGCCAGCAGTAAGAAGTAAGAACCCGGTTACCTGGTCAGCCACCTGCTGACAACCTGGCGGTCTGGGAGAGGACAAAACAAAATTTAAAAGTAGACCAGAGTCTTAAAGAAACAAAAGAATTGGGGGCCATTCAGCGTAGGAGGGAAACCCCATCAACTGCTGGAGAAGACATCAGCCCCATAGCCCAGACCAGTCCCGCCAGCGTCCTTAAAAGGTTAGGCATGTGCCCTGATTAAGGACACAGGGACATGGATGATGCACATTAGAAAGCATTCCAGAAAAACATAATTAAATTCCCTTTTAGGGCTTAAATAAGTATGCTTCAGTCATTTGCAAAGTCTACTAATGTAGGGCCTCGGAGAGGGTGTAAACAAGTTGGGATCTTTGTGGACGTTGGTGGGAGTGTTAAAATGGTGCAGCCACATTGGGAAATAGTATGGCAGTTACTCAGCAAATTAAACGTACAATTATCACATGATCCAGCAATTCCACCTCTGTGTATATACCCCAAATAATTGAAAGCAGGGACTTAAAGGGACATTTGTACACGCATTTTCATAAAGGAATTATTCACAGTCATTAAAGTGTGGAAGCAACCCAAGAAATTTATCAACAGGAGAATGATAAGCAAAATGTGGTTTATATATACAATTCATCCTTAAAAAAGGAAGGAAATTTTGGCCTAATCTACAACATGGGTGAACCTGGATGGCATTATGCTAAGTGAAATAAGCCAGTCAAGGTACCTAGAGCAGCCAAATTCATAGAGACAGAAAGTAGAATGGTAGTTGCCAGAAATGGGGAAAGGGGAATGGGAAGCTAATGTTCAACGGGTACAGAATTTCAGTTTTGCAAGATGAAAAGGCTTCCGTGGGTGGTGATCATTTGCCGAGCAGTTTAAACATACTTAATGTCACTGAGCACACTTAAAACTGATTTAGATGGTAAAGTGTATGCTATATGTATTTTACCGTACATTTTTAAAAATCAGCTTATGTGGAATTGCCTTATCTCCCAAATGGGTATGTGAATTATTGGAATTAAAGTTGAAAATCCTCCAGACCCTTCCTGCTTAGCACCAAGAAAGTGTGGGCAGAGATCATGAGACCATTTTGTGAACATCTAACACAAAGTAATCAGACAGAAGTAGGGTAGAGATGGTTGAAGGCTGGGCTGAGTGCTGGCCACAGGGGCGTCCCTCATTGTCTGAGAAGGAAAGATGACACCCTCCAGGAAGGATTCCGAATGTTAACAAAAGAGAGGTTCCTGTGTAGTGTTGCACTTAGTGATAGGCCCTCTTCTCCTGTGCTTTTATCCAGGTTGCGTTTTTCCTCTACAATGGAGTGTCACTGGATCAATTTGTGCTGCAGGTAACTCATCCACGGTATCTGCAGAACTCGCTGGTTTACCACCCACAGCTCCGAGCACAGGCTTGGCGTTACTTGACATACATCTTCATGCACGCAGGGTGAGTACCCATCTTCTTTTGGCCTATCAGCAGTTCCTTTGGAGCCCTGACTGGTGTGGCTCAGTGGGTTGGGCATTGTCCCGCAATGCAAAAGGTTGCTGGTTCGATCCCCCGTCAGGGCACATGCCTGGGTTGTGGGTTCATTCCCACTCAGGGTACATATGAGAGGCAACGAATCGATATTTCTCTCCCTCTCTTTTTCTCTTCCTTCCATTCTCTCTAAAAATAAATAAATAAAATATTTTTCAAAAAGAGTCCCTATGGAAAAATAAGTGGCCCACATAACACGGTTTGAAATACATGCATTTTAGTTTATCTCCCTGGACACAGGATTTGAGGTGGCTTCAGGTAATACCAAAATATGAGTTATTTAGAGCATATGGGAAAGGGAGAACAGGGAAGAAAATGCTCAAACGCCATAGTGAAATCAGCACAAACATCCATAGCATGTGAGCCTATGTACTTGCTTGAGGTGGGTTATAAATTTCTTCTGAGCTTCCCAGTGACCAGAGCAAAGAGGTAATGTGGTCAGCTAACAAGTTCACTGTCCATAAACGCTGTGTGCGCGCGCGCGCCCGTGTGTGAGAGTGAGTGCCGCCATCTCTGAGTGAAATCAGAGACTGACTTACTGAAACTGCCTTCTTCCCGTGTGCTCTCCATATACGATGAGGGTCTTCTCGAGGGGTTTTGGCAATGCTTACAGTTCTGTTTACAGAGATGCGCGGCCTCTTCTAGGGCTGGCGTGCAATCAGTTCTCACTGGGGCCTCTCACCCGTGATAAGGCCAGGCGACTCCACAAGTCCAGTTCCCGTGAAGAGCGTTCTCTTGGCTGGAGACCATTTTTACATAGCAGAAGTGCTGAACTGGAAAAGCAGAGTCCCTGGACACCAGACCTCTATGGTGGCTTTTATAGCCTCTCCAGGAAAAGAAACAAAGGAGCTCATTGTTAGTCTGGGGAAGCCCTGGGAGGTGCCTGTCCCTGGGGTTGGAAGTGGGAAGAGGATCCCTCTGGCTCTCGAGGCTCCACCAATCTCATTTCTCTGCAGAAAAACCCGCAGTGGCAAGAGGGAGCCCCACTGTGAGCCTCCCTTCCTGCTGAGCCTCTGAAGCGGCACAGACACCAGCCCCTAATGGCCTGCACCTGCTGGCGGCGGCGGGGTTGGGTGAGGAGACATTCTGCTCGTTGCCGGTGGATGTCTCCACTCTCAGCCGGAGGAAACTGTTGAAACAGGCCGTTTGCCTTGCCTGCTGTGTCCCAGGCTTTGATCTCACAGGGCTAAGGAGCAGAGTGAGGGAGGCATGTCCTGTATCGGTCTTCTCACGAGTCAAGATCTAGAGACAACAGCAGCCGGAGGGCTTCCCTGCCCAGGCTGCCCGAGCCCGCGGGTTCGCGTGGGTTGGAACTACCAGCCTTGTTCGCAGGACTTCCCCCTGGCCTTCTCTGGTCCCTTTGGGGCGAGGAAGGAGGACAGTGTTTCCAAGGCCTCTGTGTTCACTCTCTGCCTTTGCGAGCTGAAAGCCTGGAGTGGCCAGAGCATAGGTGCTCTCTGCTGAGGCCGCTGGGGTGGCCTTCCTCTGGCCATTGCTTCTGATGGCGCTCTGCTGCCAGGGAGAACCCTGGGAGGGTCCTCCAGGCCTGTGACTTTGATGGAGGCTCCTGCCCGCTGCTGCAGTAGACAGGAGATAGGGACAGCTGACCAGCATCTCAGGGAAGTGCAGCAGGGCGACCTGTTACTCAGGGACACACTCTGGGCTGGTGAATTTGGATGTCACTGCAGTAGAGAAGAAAAGGGTCAGACTGGGAGAGAGGAGCTCTGGGCTCCCCTCACCCGGCCTCTTCTCATCTCAAGTTCTAGGCTGTAAACCAAGGAGATGGGGCCAGAAAACCTCTGAAGTCTTTCTGCTTATGAGCCAAGATGCTACCACCCAGCTTCTTTCCAGTAAATTTTTCTGAGATTTTTAATCTAGCATCCTTTCAGTAGCACAGTTGGGGGGGACGGGGGCCTAGAAGATTCCAGGCATGGTGGGAATGCCGGACAGAGCCTGATCTGGGACACGAGCTGCCTCCCAGGCGCCCTCCTGGGTAAGCCGGCGCCCACGCGCCCTGTGTGTAGTAGGGCAGTTGGCCTCCAGGCTGAGTCCTGCAGAGCAGACCAGCGTCCGGACCCCTTGTTACATGTCTGTTACCCTATAACTTAAGCATCCCCAGGGAGCTGTCCAGCTGCGCTAGGTTCCGTTTATATGAGATAATGGATGTTAAAGTGCTTTGTAAACTCGAAAGCACACATCAATGAATAGTGATGTTACGATATTCTCTAGTAACGTATGCACTCAGCTAGACACCACTTAGCAACAAGATCTGGTCACATGATAGCCTCAAAAGGACGGCATTCCCGGGGTAGGAAAACCCGACCCTGAGAGTTTAGGGGTAGAATGGGCCCCTTCTCACAGCAGGGGGCAGAAGCCTCCCCCACCAGACTTTAAATGATAACTGCATTATTGAGCTCTAAGAGATGTATCTAAAAAGCTTACAGTATTGAAAATATCTTTCTCTTTAAATATCAGTAGCTCTTGCAAATGCAGTAGCAACCCAGCACGCCCTTGTGACCTGGTGAAGGGAGCAGAGATGTGGGCTGTGGGACCAGCCTGCCACTACTGGCTGGGTGACTCTAAGCCAGTCAGTGTCCCTATCTGAGCCTTGGCTCTTCGTGTGTCAACCAATGGAGTTCCTGGATCTTGACCATGGTTAGCCTCTATCACTGTGGCAAGCACAGACCCTGCCAGTTACCTGCCAGGCCCTGCAGGCATTCTTGTCTCAGGTGGTGGGAAAGGTATAGAAAGAACACTCTTTCTAAGGTGATCTGTCTCTCTTGTCATTCCTTCCCCCCGTCCCAGACCATGAGCTCCTCAAAGGCAGATAGAGGGTCTTGCTTGCTGCTGGATCCCCAGCACCTTGGCCTACAGTGTTTGCTGAATAAATGGAAGGATGAATAGATGAGTGAATGGAGTGTGGCCTCTCTGTACAGGGTAGAACACCTGGGACTCAACGTGGTGCTGCAGCTCCTGGTGGGGGTGCCCTTGGAGATGGTGCATGGAGCAACCCGCATTGGGCTTGTCTACGTGGCTGGTGTTGTGGCAGGTAGGCGGGAGGGCCCTAGTCTACAGGAGAAACCTCCCCGGGGGGGGCTGGGAACCCCCATGGGGTCAGGCAAGCCCCAGGCTTTCAGGGGACCCAGGACCCTCACCATCAAAGCTCCTGACTACGAGGGTTGTTCTCCAGGCAAATCTCCCCACCTCCCTGGAGAGGAGAGCACAGGATTTGGAACAGGCCGACTGACCAGATTTTCAGTCTTTGTACCACCATGTTGGAGCTGTGTGAACTTGTGGAAATTCCTTAACCCCTCTTGGCCCCATTAAGCCTTAAGACAGAACTAATGAGATCTGCCTGCAGGGTGTTAGGATGGTGGGGTGAGCTGACGAATGGAGGGATGGTGTTATGTAAACTGCAAGGGCAGAGTGAGATCCCTATAGAGACACCCGTGGTGTGGGTGAAGCCAGGTGCCTCCCTGGCCAGGCTCGTACCTGTACCAAAAAGGGAGACCTTGCTTCTGCCCACCTGGCCACTGTCCCCTTTATTGGCCTGCTGCTGACAGGAGAGAGTCTGGCCTAAAAGGTAGTGAGCATCGTGCCAGCCCAGCGAGTCTGGGCCCCGGGCTGACTCAGCTGTCACGGCAGGCGATTGTGGTCCTCTGCGCAGGGGCAGCCTGACTTCCCCTTCCCCTCCCCAGGGGGAGGGGAGGCGGCTGGGTGAGCTGGGGAGAGCGGAGCAGGTATGTGCAGGAAAAGTCTGCACCAGCCGGGCTTCTGCACACAGGAATGTCTCTCGTGATGTTCCAACTTTATTGCTGGGCTTTTTTTTTTTTTTTTTTTTTTGAACAAGGTTTGCCGCCTCAGCTCTTCACCTTGACAGCTGTGCCCAAGGGAGCTTTGTGTGTATGTTTAAGTAAGATCTTAATCCTTCCTGAGTAGCATTAAAGTTGTCATGAGGAGAGTGGGATACCAACAGCCTTGTAAACAACCGGCAGGCAGGCAGGGTCCCCGGGAATAACCGCTGTGGCTTCAGGAATCAGGACGGGAAGGGCCTCAGCCCCGCCTGTAGGGCTGGTCTGCTGATTCCTGAACCCTCAGTCTGGATGTTGGTCCAGCGCCGGCTCCTTTGCTGCTCTATGTGCCGAGGCTATAAACTTGGCCACCTTGGACAGCACCCACGCCAGCTTGTCCCAGAATCCAGCACCTTACATATCCTTGAACGAAGGTCTAATGAGCATCTCTGTGTGCCAGACTTACTCAGCCGCCCACACACCCCCCGGGTCTTGACATCTGGGGATTTATAGCGGCACTTTCCATACCTAGATACTCAGAGACCCAGATGGTTAATGGTGAGGAACAGGAAAGACACTCATAACACTTGCTGTTAGTAGTCAATTAGATGAGAGTGCCAATAAGCCAGGAGACAGAAATAAGATTCAGAATGACTCAGGCCCCACCAAAACCAGACGACACACAGCAGGAGGCAGTGCAGGTATCACTTCCCAGTGATACCAGCGCAGGGTGGGGCGGTGCGCGGACCCAAAGGGAGCTCGCCAACCCAACAGGAGGGTGTGGGGCTGCATCACAAAGCAACGGATGTGCACTATGCTGGGTGAGTCATTGTGCAGTCTCAAGGGCACTCTTGTCACAACATAGCGTGCTGTCTGTCTCCAAGACTGAGTTAATTCATCTGCCCTCACCCCTTCCTCCCTCTCTGCTCAGAAAGGGGACCCTTTCACAGGCAGCCAGACCCTGACTGCATAGCCAGTAATCAAATGCCGGCCCAGGGCAGGCCCTATTTTATTTAACCCTCACAAGAAAATCCATGAGGTGGCTACTATTACTCTTCAATCATTGCAGATACAGAAACCGAGGGTTAGCGGGCCCAAGAAGACAGCTGAAAGTGGTGGAGCTGGGCTCAAACCCAGGTTGTCTAACCCCCAAGGCTGTGCCCTAAACCGCTGCCCTGTCACGAGAACCAGGCAGCAGGCATTTCCCTTTGTGCAACTGCTTTAATTGCCAGAAGCCCAGGGAGGTCGTAACAGGCCTTGGGCCCTGCTGTTTAATTCCTACCCAGTGAAAATATCCCAAGCCCAAAGCCATCACGTTTTGTACTGATGGGAACTAACCTCTGCTGAGCGCGTCCAGGACTCCAGGCATGTGATAAAGGGTTCACGTGTACTCTCTGCTGTGTTCAGCACAGCCATCCAAAGTGGTGGGTACTGTCACCCCCATTTTACAGGCTCGTCAGAACAGTGAAATGACTTGCTCAGTTGGCCCAGCTAAGAAGTAGCGCACCCGGGGCGGAAACACTTGCTCTGCTCTGTGCCTTTGCCCAGGGCTTGAGGCCGATGTGTATTTCACTTCTGGTTAACCATTAGGTAGCTAACCATTTAACTTTTTTAAAAACCAGTATCCTAAATGCTCCTCCAAGCTTTTATTTTGGAAATTATATAGATTATAAGGCATGTGTGCATCCCCAGAGCCTAATGCAGGGTCTGGCACGTTTTAAGCAACACATATTTGTGGAATAAAGGAAAGAGCACATAGACAAATAAAGTCACATTGCTTAAAGGGAGATATTCTGCCAATTTTTATTCGGATTTTTTTTTTTTAATGGCCAAGGGAGATGTTGGAGAACACCTGCTTTAAATTTTCCAGGCTAAAATGATCACAGCTGCGCATTATGGCAAAGTCACGAGTTTAGCTGTGTGCAGGCATGGACCCAGACTTTGGGAGGGAATTCATAGCCCAGGCTAGACTTTGGTCTGCTGCCGTGCGGAGGAGGGCGCGTCGCTCCACCTTGCCACGCTCTATGCTCTTGCCGTCCTGTGACCTCCGTGGAATTCCTACTGGCCTTATTGAACTGTTACCCGTTAGGTGGAATCCTGCCTGGCCCAAGCTCCGTGCCCCGAGATGGCCTTTGTCACTCTGCGGAGATGCATCCATGTCCCTGTTTGAATTTGATCTCTGCCAGTCCCTCTAGACCAGGGCTAATCCGCAATCACGTGAAGGAAGTCTGTGCCACAAAGACAGGGTGGGTGGGTCCAGATGGTCCCCTTCAAAATGCTAGAACCCAGGTCTGAGCCTCAGACCCAGATCTGAGGCCAAGACTCAAATTATTGAATTTCTAACCTGAAAGGAACCTTTGAGGTCCCCTCCAGAGGGTGGCAAACTTTGCTCCCCAGGCCCCACTCCCATTCAGCCAGAGCTGCTCTCTGTGCTCTGCTCCATGGGGTAGGATGTGGGTAAGGTTTCCACTGAAAAAAGGATTTCACTGCTCAAAAGTTGGAAAGCCTGAGGCCTCATTTCACAGATGGGGAAACTGAAGCCCAAAGAATTTCAAGATCTGTGCCCACGGTCACACAACTAGCCAGCCACGCCCCCATTCCATGCTTCTTCCAGGATCCCAGGCTGACCCCTGGCGCTGGGGGCAGGCCTGCGATCCATGGGCAGGGTGAGGGAGAGGTCAGTGTGTGGAGCCTGACCCTGGGGGCCCTGCTGATGCCTTGGCCGGCGGATGGACCACACTGGGGAGGCGGAGAGCAGGATCCGGCCTGTTTGTAGAGGCCTGTGCTGAGGGAAGAGGCCAGGCCAGGGAGGCTCTCTGTGTCCCAACGGTAATTAATGAGGAGCAAGCTGGGGGGTGAGCGGCTTGGGCAGCCAGCCCTCGCTGCTCTGCACGGCGGCCTTCTGCACTGGCGCCCGGGAGAGCGTGGGAATCTTTTGTCATGCAGATCCCGCTGCTTGTCTGTTTGCCACCCTGGGATTTTTTTCCCCCTGTTCTATATGGTTGACCCTGTGGCTAAGCAGTTAAAAAAAAAAGAAAGAAAGAAAGAAAGTTATCTGACAATAGATCAATACTCAATTAAAGCCTGAGGGAAGACATGAAAGGGGAGAAGAGAGATTTATAGCTGCCCTGGGAGGGCAGAAGGACTTGGGAGTTCTCAGTGGATAGTTTGTTTTTTCCTGGGAAATCACATCCCCCTTGAGACCAAGAATCTGTTGCGGGGATCTCTTCTTTGAAGGATCTCAGTGAGCTGAGGAGCCTTGGGAGCCGAGGGGCAGGTCCCTGGGGAGAAGGCGGATGATGTTACGGAGCTCCCCATGCCCAGGGTGTCAGGTGTTCTGGTTCCTTAGGAGGTAAGCAGTGGACCCTCCGCTCCTGTGGAACCTGCTTGATTTGGCCTTCTGCCCAGCCCTCCTCTCTCCGCCCAGGCAGCAGCTAATTGGCTCACGAGCCTACAGGCATTTTCCAGTGGTGATTTTTGCACACTCACCCGGGCCAGCCACCTTTCCTCCTCTGAGCCCTGGGCTCTACCTCCCAGTTATTTTTAGTCTCCCATGTCCTTCCCTGGAAGCCAACGCATTGATCACACTTAAATGAGATCAGAACAATGCATTTCCCATCTCTTCTCTGCCCAGCTTTCCTTCCAGGACAAAAGTTTGTCATCCCCTGCACCAAGAGTCTATACCCTTCTTTCCCCCAGAGGGCATGACATCATCTCTCTCCCTCTCTTCCTGGGGACTTTTCAAGGACCTTTTCTTTTCCTCCAGAGAAGCCCCATTTGCTCTGGAAATCCTGTTGGCCTTCTGTGATTGCACTCAGTGGGAGGAGGGTTGGAGGTGCTCTCAGCTGGTTTCTAGATGCCGTGGAGCAGAAAGAGTGATGGCAGAGGGGGGAGGTTGACTTCAGTTGAGGGAGTGGCTGCTATCAAGGCGGAGAGCGCAGGCTGTGTGACAAGCAGTCCTGGACTCGAATCCAGGTTCCAGCTCTTCCTACCACGGGACTCCAGGTGCAGCCTCCTCATCTCTGCTTGGCCCGTGTCTGACACACAGCGCCCCGTAAGTGGTACCTGTTTCTGCAGCAACTACTCCTGTCATTTTCATCATGGCCCCAGAACCCTGAGAGGGCACGTTGGAAGGCAGAGGTTGGATTGAGAGGCAGATGTTCCTGTTCCTCTGTTGAGCCTTTGCTTCCGTCTGTAAGAGGAGGAGTTTGAATCAAATGGTTCTTTCAGCCATAAATTAATCCTCTCAGGAGCTCCAAGGGGACTTGGGATCCAGGGAGGGAGAGATGGAGCCTTTTGCTCTGGGGTCTTACCCGCAAGGCTGCGGCATCTGAGGGCTTGAGGCGGGGGTGGGGAGCAGCCTCCGGCGTTCTTGACTTCTCACTCGCTCTCTGCCCCAGGGTCCTTGGCGGTGTCTGTGGCTGACATGACCGCGCCGGTCGTGGGCTCCTCTGGAGGGGTGTATGCGCTCGTCTCTGCCCATCTGGCCAACATCGTGATGGTGAGCACCTCCTGCCCCAGCATGCCTTTTGTGGCTTCCCCTCAGCCGTCTCTGGGCCCAGGCGTTAACGGGCTGGAGCTGGGGTTTGCATCCTCGTCCGCATTCCCACACAGGCCTAGCAAGTGCCGGGCAGACCTGGCTGGTAACGAAGTTCACCCGGTTGGTGCAGACGCGCCTCGCTGTCTGCAGGCCCATGGCAAAGGGGGCCCCTCCGTGGGTGATTCGTATTTTCTCCAGTCATGGCTTTGCCTAGGAATTGCCCCCTCTCCCATTCCACCTCTTTCCCACTCAGTGACTTTAAAAAGGGTTACGATTCTTGACCACCGTCACGCATCTTCATTGTCACGGGCTGTTTGTCATAGATGGTTAAAAAATAAAGGGAACTTAGAGATCACTGCATCAAAATTCTCAAATTAAAAAGAAGGCTCTGAAAAAAGGAAAAACCATTCCTGAACACGGACAACAGTGTGGTGGTTGCTGGTGGGGGAAGAGGTATAAGGGGACTAAATGGTAATGGAAAAAAAATATATAATAAAGATTAAATCAAGAAAAAAGTTTTTCAAAAAGGATACCTGAAATGAGGAAAAAAAGAAAGAAAAGAAGTCTCTGAGACGTTAAGTGATTTGTCAAAAGGTAAAGCTTGTGGCACAGTCAGAGCTTGAAACCACATCTCCTGAAAATCCCTCAGGTGGTGGTCTCCTGCGGTTCATTTCTTCAGCCCGTTCTCTTCTCCTGCGCTTCCTTGTCTTTTCCTCAGAGGCCATATGTTAATGGTTAAGAGCAGGGGCTACGGAGCCAGGCAGCCTGGAGTTGAATCCCAGCCACTCACTTCCTAAAGAGTGACCTGGGGCAAATGACTTCACTGCTCTGTGCCTCAGTCTCTACATCTGTGAAATGGGATATGTGATAAGTGAGAGAAAGTGGAAATAACCAGTTAATATAAGAGTTGACTTAATTCCTAATCCTCTCAGAAGAGACCATGGTAGCTTCCAAATAGAGACGGGGTCTTCCAGGCAAGTTAGAATCTATCTGATAGTTTCAGAGGAGGCCAAGAAGGAGGAGTCACCGGCAGTGCTTGGCTGAGCCTGGCTAATGCCCCTGCTGGCCCAGGAGCCTCCAGGCAGGTCCCAGGCAGGTCCCAGATTTACTCACCTGTTTCCCCAGTGCCTGGGATAGGGCTGGACACGTGGTGAATAATGTCACTAATTGTGGTGAATGAGGAAGGAATGAATGAATGAACAATGTCCATAAAAGTTACAGCTTCTCTTTGGGGTCCCTCTGCACTTGCCCCGCTCCTCCATCGCTATGTCCACCGCGTGGCAGACATGTGACTACTCATCGTTTCTGTGTGTCTTTGGAATTCCCAGATTTTCCCATTTCATCTGTGTTGCCCCACTCCTCAACACCACCCTTTTTCTTTTCGCCAAAGTCCCCCTTGCACATTGAGGGGCAGGGGTGGAGAAAGGAAAGACAGGGGGAAGATGGGAAGAGAGGGACTCGCAGACGGACACTGGCCACACTTGCTCCTTGCCTGCATTGTAGCAACTTCAAGTGAGCGCTCGGGGAACTACAGCAGGCTTGGGACAGCCTGGGTGAGTGTGCGTGCGTGTCTGCGTGCCTGGATGCCCGTGTGTTTACACATGCGCGCGCGCACGGCTGGGTTTGCCGAGAACCTGGGAGTACGGTGCTGCCTCACACAGCCCTCATAAGTGGGTCATTCTGTATCGGTGCCACCGCTTTCCCCAGACACAGCTTTTCCTCTAAATTCTACCTCTTTTACTCCCCCTCCCCCTGCCCCAGTTCCTTCCATAGGGAAGGAAATGCTAAGCACCCCGCTCCTTGTCCCCCCAAGATGTGTCTGTGAGTAAGGGGAGGAACAAGCTCAACTAAGAGAACATGGGAAAGAAAAAACAAACAGGAGTTCGTAAAGATGCCCGGTTTCTACTCCCTTCCCCGCCGCCTGGGAAACAGCCTGATGCCCCTGGGAGTTCCCATGGTGAGGGCAGACCACCCTGAGAACCCAGGGGCAGGGCACGGGGTTGAGGAGGAAGCGTGAAAGCAGTTTTGTTCCAGTTTACGCTTCTTCCTGGCAAGTAGCCCATGCCCGTGGTGATGGAGACAAGCAGCCCCATCCGGGAGCTTTCCCTGGCCAACTGGGAGCTTCGTGGTCCCCGGAGTATGACATATGGGTACCTTTCCCTGGAAAGTTGTGTGTGCTTTTTTGACAGTGGGGGGAAAATTTCATTTTCTCATTTCAAAAGCTTGGTTTCCTTTCATCAAAAGGCCACCTTTACCCAAATTAGCTCAGTGCCCAGCAATTGAGAGATGCATTGGGTCTAACCATGTGAAATTGCCATTTCTGTGGGTCAGAAGCACTTAAACGTTGCCATTTTCGTATGGTTCAACTGAACAAATAGACTGTGGGGATTTTAATTCCAAAATGAAGACTGGTCTGTGTGTGCGTGCTCAGTGAGACGCCTTGTCGGAACCGGAAGCAGAACAAGCGTGGGCTTGACAGGTGGGAAACCTGGATCTGAGTGTGAGTGTTGCCGTTTTAGTGTCTGTGAGCTCCTTAGGACCTCAGTTCTGTCACCTGTAATCCCTTCCTCACAAGGTAGCTGTGAGATAGATGTGGAAAAGTGGATGAGAAAATGCTATCCGTATGGTGAATCATCATATAGCTGGGAGGTCCTGTGTGTGTGTGTGTGTGTGTGTGTGTGATTTTTTAAAATCCTCACCCAAGGATATGTTTATTATTGATTTTTAGAGAGTGAGGAAGGGGAAGAGGGAAAGAGAAAGAAACATCCATGTGAGAGAGACACATCAATCAGTTGCCTCCCATATGCGCCCCAGCTGAGGATCGAACCTGCAACCTTTTGGTGTACGGGACGACGCTCCAACCAACTCAGCCACCTGGCCAGGGCTGTAGACATATAACTTTTATCTTTATAAATTTTGCCTGATATCTGTATATAGGAAAATCAGGAAGTGTGTCTTTTTTGCTTTAGACACATAATCATAAGACGTTTGACACTTGTGTTCTCAGGATTGCCTGTTTAAATGAGAGATTCTGCCTTAAACCAAAGCATGCCTTATTTTTCACAAAAACACTTCGCGTTTCAAAAGCTTGCAGTTTGCACCCAGGGATTAAACTTAGAAACTATTTCAACAAAAGATCTGGGTGACATAAAAGACCTACACTCAAGATTTCTTATTTTAAACACTGGAAGTCTAAGGATACACATAATACAATAATTTATTAATGGCCTTTTGCTGGGGCCCCTAAACCAGATTTCCATTTTTAAATATGCAAGATATTTACTCACGCTTTGTTCCATATGATATATGTTTTCCTTAAATGTTTGAGACCTGAATTTTCACAAATTAAGCCATATTGTGAAAGCACAAGGGAAGATTGTTGTCTAAGTGACACAAAAAAACCTTATGTTCCAAGGTTCGCTTGTTTAAGTAAAAATCCTTTTGTAGGACAAATAATCACTTCCTGATTTATGTGTCATGCTTTCCCATTTTCTCTGCTGGGTTTTCCTGAAGTCATTTAACAGAAAAAACTGTTTCTAGGCCTGGCCAGTGCGGCTCAGTTGGCTGGAGCATCCTTCCACAAACCGAAAGGTTGTAGATTCGATTCCCAGCCAGGGCACATGCCTAGGTGGCGGTTCCGTCCCCGGTCTGGGCACATATGGGAGACAACCAATCGATGTTTCTCTCTCACATCAATGTGTCTCTGCCTCTCTCTCTCCGTTCCTTCCCCTCCCTCTAAAATTAATAACAAATTAAAAAACAAAAACACAGTTTCCACCCAGAATATGTAAAGCTTGGTTGAAACTAAGCTCCCTGCCTGGGTTTCAGCCTCTGAGCTCTCAACTGGCTGGGGAGCACGATGCCCAAGGGACCGGCTCCTGCCGTGTTTGGCCTGGGTGGGTTACCGTCTCACCCGTCGGGGCTCGGGGAGAGAATGAAATTAAAAGGCCTGCAAAAGGTTTGCATTCCCCAGGGGCCCACAAGCTTTTCAACATTTACAGCAGCAGCAGTGCTAGCTGTGTGTGAGATTTTTCCTCCCCTTCTCTCCTGTTGTTTAGCTGCACTCATTTTATTAGCGGGAATAATGAGTTGGGGAAAATGAGGCAGCTGGTGGGAGGGGGTGGCTTTCCAGTTTAACCCCTCAGCTGCTGGGAGACTGAGCATTTACTGCCATTTGCTCAGCTTTGGGGGCCCCTGGGGCAGCCAGCAGGGACGGGCAGCCCAGACAGACCACGACCCTGGCCTAGGAGTGTGGGCAGACAGAGCCCTGGACTGCGAATCCTTTCAGTCTCGCCTTTAACTCGCTGTGTATGACCTTGAATCAGTCCTCCTGGACCCTCAGTTGCTTCTTCCTTAAAGGGCGGGAGAGAAGGTATGACTGGCTCAGCTTGGCAAACCCCAGCGCCTTCAGGGGCCAGGCAGGTGTGTGCGCGAAGCCGGCCTGGGATGCACGGTGGCAAAACCAGTGTGGCTAAAAGGTCACTGAGGTTCAGAAGTTGTAAGGCCTTCATGCAGGGCGAACTTGCCACCTTTGCCTTGGGTCGAGATGCTGGCGTCAGACGTTTACGTGGTGTTTACCGTGTGCCAGGCAGTGTTCTCTGTACTTTCTGTGTGTTAGCTCATTCCACCTTCGCAACAACCCAGCGAGGTAGGCACCAAGATAGGCACTACTGTTGTTTCAGATCTACAAATGGGGACACCCAAGCAGAGGGAGTTCTGGGCCGCCCCACCAGTGGTCTTTCCAGGCCAAAGGCAGGGACTGTGTTTCTAAGACAGGTCCCAGAGAGGGGTGAGACGGGGCATGGAGCTCAGCTGACGGCGAGGGCCGCCCGTACATTCTAGACTTACTTTGCTTGACGTTATCACTCAGAACTCAGTGAGAGATACACTGTTCAGGTAGGATATTCAGAGGGTTTTTATGAGGAAAAGGGATACTAGAAGTGTTCTGTATTGCTTTAGTTTTCAGTTGTGGGAAATATACATAAGATATAACATACCATCTTGACCATTTCTAAGTGTACGTTCGGCATTGCTAAGTACGTTCACACCATTGTGCGATCATCGGCACCATCTCTGGTGTTCGTTCAGTGATGTTTATAGTATGTATCAGAACGTTCTTCCTGTTTAAGGCTGAATAATACTCCATTTGTATGGTTAGACCCCCTTTTGTCTCTTCATTTATCTGTTGAGGGACACTTGGCTGTTGCGAATAATGCTGCTACGAGCATGGGTGTCACTTTTCAGGGAGAATTAAGATGCCTGCGTGGATCTCACAGAGAAGCAAAGCCTGGCTGGACAACAGCAGGAAGAAATTTTTAGTGATCAGACCCCTGTCACAGGGCTGCCCCAGGGGGTGGGGAGCTCCCTGTCACAGGGACTGGGGGGCCATTTTGTGGGTGGCTTGGCAGCAGTGTCCCCTTTAGGAGGTGATGGTCCATCGGGCGACTCCCAAGGATCTACCCATGATCCTCACGTCTCAGCCTGGAGAAGAGGAGCAGGGGGCGGGGCGTGCCCTCTGTCAGCGGACTGAGCTGGCTCAGCACGGGTTGCCCGATCAGTGGAGGGTGCCACCTTCCACCAGGAGGTGAGGGCGTTGTCCTGCCATCAGCTTCTTAGCACAGAATGTGTCAGCGAGCAAAGATTAGGCTTCCCCATCTAAAGAGGGGCCGTGTGTTGCCCACCTTGCCTTTTGTGAAGCAGGGCTTGCCGGTCAGTGAGAAGAATGGGGGAAAGAGGAGTGATGGGCAAGAAGCCCAAGCCGCAGGATTTCTCCTGGTTTTTGGCAGCTTCCCTGCATCCTGCTTACTCCACTGATGCTTCCCTAGACATTATTGTGTGTACCAGTGTTCAGGGCCTCTCTAAAGTTTAACACATGTCCCCTAACGTCCAGGGAGTGCAAGACGGGCTGCCCAGCTGGGCCTGGGCCAGGCAGCAAAGGCAGAGTGGCTGGGGAGGGAACAGAGGCCCCTGGCTGTAGCCGGTGGCCTCCTTCCCTAGGTCTGATGGGTCTCTGTGTGTGTGCGTGCACATCACGCGCGGGTGTAAATGGAGTAGAGCTTTGAATGCGCTGCAGGAGTGCCCCTCAAAGGAACCCTGTGGCGAAGCCTTTTGTAAAGTGAAAACTCCTTTTGTAAGGTGAATAATCGTACTCTGTTCATCTGCTTTGGAGGTTCAGAGTGTTCAGAGAGTCTCAGGGGAAAGAGGGATCTGCTTGAAGGCCATCTGGCCCTCCCCCTTGCCAATGCCCGGTTCCAGAGCATGCCCTCCAAGTGAGGCAAAAGCCCAGTTGAACCCCTCAGTGTCAATGATGGGAAACTCACTATCCCCCAAGAGACAGCATCCCATCTTTGGGCAGCTCTGCTTATTAGAGATGGAAAGTTATTCTAAGCTGAAAAAAAAATCCTCTGACTTTATCAGACTGTCACTGCCTGCTTTCGCTCCGCCTGAAGATGATTTGAGACGGACTTTGAGAAGTCTTGACTGTCCGCCTTCAGAACTCAGACACTGAGATTGTGGTCTGCGCCCGTCATCAGTCTTTGTTTCTCTTTCGTGTCCATAGAAATACCTCTTATTAAATGCCTGATTACGTGCGCCATAACCCTAACGCTGGGAGCCTACCTGCTTCCTGAAATGAGACACAACTGTTTAGCTGAACTGAACTTTTCTCAAGACTGAGACTGGTTTAATGAGATACAGAACAATCTACCAACTCCAACTTTCAGGGACGTTTCAGAGGAAGGGACTCTGGGGGTTCAGAATGAGTCACCCCCAGATGTGCCTCTGTGGAATGCAGATTGTTTTGAGCTAAAGGCAGTTTTAGCTGTGGGGCTCGAAAGAAACTTCTACCTCTCCCTTAACTATCTAGAAGAACTTCAATTAGGGGCCTTGCCCACAGTAAGAGAGCATCAGAAATAACCTCTTCTGACCTACCTGTAGGGCAGAACAAACTTCTCTTTACTAAGCCTGTGCTCTTATCATCCTGCAATGACCCTTTGAATCTCCCAGGCCACCTTACCTCATCCCTAGTTCAGATGTCTTATGTGCCTGCGCTCCCTTTCTGTCTCTGAACCTCTCGTGCATGTGGGGTCCCTGACTCTCTTATGTGTGCTGGGTTCCCATACAAATGTGTGTGTTAAATTTGATTATTTTCTCTTGCTAAAGTAAAATCTCCCACTGAAGTTTCATCCATTGAGTCTTCTGCTTGCAGGTTGCACTGAATGTGCCTCTTCCTCGTACTGTTGACTCACTTGATACTTGACAACAGTGAACTTGGCCCCTGAGTCTTCTCGTCATTCATGCCTCATATGCAGGGTTTTGAGTTCTTACATCATCCTGATGGTTCTGCCTTAACTTTGCGTGGTTCGCTGTCCTGCATCCCTTTGCAACCTGGACCCAGCAGTTAATGCAGCTCTTGGTGTTGTGTGCGGGTGTAGAGGGGACAGGGACTCCCATCTCCCTAGACCTAGATTCTCTGCCTCTGCTAGCGCAGCTCAAGGGCTTTTGACAGTAATAAACTTAGCGTTGCCTAAAATCTCCAAGCCATGCTGATATGGTCTGCGCCTAAGCCCCGCCCCGCCCGCTCATGACGTCATGGAGATAACTTTTTGAACTGTCAGGTTTCCTTAAGTGACATACTTCTGCAGAGGCATGGTCTGATCTGGAACTAATGGAACTCTCTCCTTTTTCCCTAGAACTGGTCAGGCATGAAGTGCCAATTCAAGCTGCTGCGGATGGCTGTGGCCTTGATCTGTAGTAAGTCCTGACGGGGCAGGCTGGGGGGTGGGGGCCCTGCCCTGGGCCTGGGGGTTATAAAAATGGCACAGACCCTGTCCTTCAGGGGCTTGTGGTCAAGGAAAAAAAAGGGAGGGCCGCGTCAGTAGTGCGCAACAAAGTGGGATGTTATGAGAGAAGTCTGGCTCACACTGCTACTTCTTAATCTTTCTTCAACTTTCTATTGACGTATAATGTGCAAACAGAGAAGTGAACACAGCGTAAGTGTGCAGCTCAATGACCGGCACCCAGATCAAGAAAAATAACTTCTTAATAACCTTTTGGGTTGTGGAGTTGATCCTCTGACATGTCCCGTTGGAAGCCAGAGACCCCTCCCCCAGAAAGACATACATATGTGGATGTGGATGTGAGCTAAAGCTTGTAGTTTTAGCAGGTTTACAAACTGTAGCTAACCTTCGTAAACAGGCTGTGGCGGGGGCCCTAGTCAGCAGAAGCTAGTTCTACCTGCAAAGGTTATGTTGAGTGTTCAGGACAGGCAGGTGTTCACCACGTAGACACGATGGAAGAGGGCATTTCAGGCCACGGTGCAGTGTGAACAAAGACACAGGGCGGGAAGGGTCAGGGCCTGCAAGTTGGTTGCAACGCTGACCTATGAGGTTTGGGACCGTGTGTGATTCTGATAAGAGACAATAGGAGTCCGGTCTTGAAAGGCTTTAAATGCAAAGAGAAGGATTGGACTTCATCCTGAATACACTGGGAGGCCCCTGGGGGGGTTTAAACTCAAGTTACTGACAGATTTGAGTTTTATGGTATTTTTTTATTTATATTTTATTGATTATGCTCTCACAGTTGTCCTGATTTTTCCCCCTTTGCCCTCCTCCAGCTGGCAGCCCCCCTCCCTCAGGCAATCCCCCCACCATTGTTCACGTCCACGGGTCATGTGCATAAGTTCTTCGGCTACTCCATTTCCTGTACTGTACATCCCCATGGCCATTCTGTAACTACCTATTTGTGCTTCTTAATCCCCTCACCTCTTCATTATTGCCCCACACCCTCCTCCCATCTGGCAACCATCAAAACACTCCCTGTATTTATGTTTCTCTCTCTCTATTTATGATTCTGTCTCTGTTCTTCTTGTTTGCTTAGTTTGTTTTCTAAATTCAATTGTTGATAGATATGTATTTTTGCCATTTTATTGTTCTTAGTTTTGGTCTTCTTCTTTTTCTTAAATAAGTCCCTTTAACATTTTATATAATTGTGCTTTGATGATGATAAACTCCCTTAGTTTTTTCTTGTCTGGGAAGCTCTTTATCTGCCCTTTAATTCTAAATGATAGCTTTGCTCAGTAGAGCAATCTTGGCTGTAGGTCCCTCCTTTTCATGACTTAGAGTATATCTTGAGAATCCCTTCTCGCCTGCAAAGTTTCTTTTGAGAAATCAGCTGACAGTCTTATGGTAATTCCTTTGTAGGTAATTATCTGCTTTTCTCTTGCTGTCTTTAAGATTCTTTATCTTTAACCTGTGGCATTTTAACTATGATGTGTCTTGAAGTGCGCCTCTTTGTATCCATCTTGTTTGGGATTCTCTGTGCTTCCTGGATTTATATGTCTATTTCCTTCACCAAATTAGGAAAGTTTTCTTTCACTATTTTTTCAAATAGATTTTCAATTTCTTGCTCTTTCTCTTCTCCTTCTGGGACCCCTATGAGGTGAACGTTGGGCCTCTTAAAGTGTCCCAGAGGGTGCTTATACTATCCTCACTTTTTTGGATTCTTTTTTCTTCTTCTTGTTCTGATTGGTTGTTTTTTTGCTTCCTTGTGTTCCAAATCATTGTTTTGATTCTCAGCTTCATCCACTCTACTGTTGTTTCCCTGCAAATTGTTCTTTATTTCAATTAGTGTATCCTTTGTTTCTGACTGGATCTTTTTTATGCTGCTGAGGTCCTTACTAAGTTCCTTGAGCATCCTTATAACCAGTGTTTTGAACTCTGCATCTGAGAGATAGCATATTTCCATTTTGTTTAGCTCTCTTTCTGGAATTTTGATCTGTTCTTTCATTTGGGCCATGCTTCTCTGTCTCCTTGTTTTGGCAGCCTCCCCGTGTTTGTTTCTGTGTATTAGGTAGAGCTGCTTTGACTCCATGTCTCGGTAGTGTGGCCTAATGTAGTAGTCCTGTAGGGTCCAGTGGCACAGCTTTTCCAGTCACCCAAGCTTGGGTACATGAGGTGTGCCCTTTGTGTGGGCTGAATACACCCTCCTCTTGTAGTTGAGCCTTGGTTGCTGTTGGCAGGTCAGTGGGAGGGATTTACCCAAGCCAGTCAGCTGCAAGGATTGACCACTTACCACCAACCTCCACCCTCTATGGAGGATCATCCGTGCAGGGGCAGGGTGGTCTGTAGCTGTCCACTGGGTGCACTGGCCCTGGGGTTTCCGGGGTGGGACAGGCCAAGGTCAGCCCCCTCCTGTGTTTTGCCTGGGACCACCTTGCCTGAGCTATAAAGCAATCTGAGATGGCTGCTACTTGTGCTGGGCTTGGAGAGTTCCAGGTGAAGGCAAGCTGTGAATCTAGGCTGGCTGCAGTTAATGTTGGGCCTGGGGCGCACTGAGGCCAGCTGTTGCTTGTTTGAAAGGATTTAGCAAGTTGTGAAGCAAGAAGGAAGACCAGCCTTTCATATGGAAAAGCAGCTTGGGTGGGCCCATAAGCTGGGTGGGGCAGAGTCTCTGGGGAATCTCCAAGGCAGGTCAAACAGTATTAGCCAAGTTGACAGAGTCTCAGATATGGCACTAGCTTACCAACTCTGTGGCTCTGTGGGGGGAGGGCCCAGACAATGGCCTCTGTCTGCCTTGATGCCAGGCACCTCAGTCTCTCCCATCATGCCACTGATGCCTTTCAAGGTACCACCTGGGCGCTGGAGCACAGAAGGAATGAGTCTGAGTAGGTGAGTCCACCTGTGGGTTCTTTAAGAGGAACTGCTTGGGGCCCTAGAAGTTTCTTCCACTGACTCAATCCCCTCTGGTTTTTGCAGCCAGAAGTTGTGGGGACTTATCTTCCTGGCACTAGAACCCTGGGCTGGAGGACCTGGTGTGGGGCTGGGACTCCTCACTCCTGAAATACCACTCCCAAATTTTATCCAACACACATACATGTGGGACCAGCCCGTTCCATGTCTGTGGCCCTCCTACCAGTTTGGATGGATGTGGTATCTTTAATTCCGTAGTTATCAGGCTTCCATTCAACTCGATTTCTGACAGTTCTGAGTGATGGTTGTTCTGTTAGTTGTAATTTTGATGTGGTTGTGCAAAGAGGGGAGCCATGTCTGCCTGCACCACCATCTTCCAGATTGGAGTTTTAGGAGACCAGTCAGGCTCAGTGTGCAGAAGGAGTTGAGTGCGGGGATGAGACCAGAGGCCAAGGGGTATTTCCTGAGGGAGAAAAAGATAATAATCTGCACAGAAGCAAAGGGGGTAGGAAGAGAGAAAAGGGGACACGTAGTCTCTCCTTCATTCAGTCCTGAGAACACAGCTGTGGAGGGCGTGTTACTGTTAGGTTTCATTTTCCGGTGGGTACTCAGGGCTCAGAGAGACAAGTTCCTTGCCCTGGGTCATCCAGCGAGAGGTGAGAGAGCCAAATTCAAAGCCAGCCTGTGCCATTGCTAATGCCCCACACTCAGCCAGCCCGGGCAGCAGCACCTTGACTGTGTCTCCCTGGGTCAGCCACCTGCTGCCTGGGGAAGCGGGAGACTGAGCCGCAAAAGTGGTGGGATGGAGGAGGCCTGCGCGGGGCCCACGGCACTGTCGTCCCTCGATTCGTTCATACCCGTGGCTTTCAGACTCTCCGGTCTCAGTTTCCTGTTGGAGGACCTCTACTTCCAGGGAGGAACTTCCGACTTTACGTTCATAGGCTCTATGAACCAGGACAGTGAGGGGACAGGAGGGGACAGTAGGAGGGTAGTGGGGGAGGGGAAAGGTGAACACAGCTTCCCAGTCTGCCCAGCCTCTGAGATTGTCTGTGAGAAAGGGAAAAGAAGCATGAGTCTTGCTGTTTAAAAAAACCAACTAACTCTAGGCCCTGGCAAGGTAGCTCAGTTGGTTAGAGCATCATCCTGATACACCAAGGTTGCGGGTTTGATCCCCAGTTGGGGCACATATAAGAATCAGCCAATGAATGTATAAATCAGTGGAACAACAAATCAATGTCTCTCTCTCCCCCCACCCCCTTTCATCTCTCTGTAAAATCAATAAACTTCAAACAACTCTGAGCATCATAAAAACTAAAATGCTCTTTTGGAGGTCTTTCAAACCCCTCCTCTGGAACCCAGGGCCTGCTCAATGAAGGCAGGAAGCTGCCCCAGGGCCTGGGGAGGAATTGGGGGAAGACAAAGCATCTGTCCTTGGCTGCTCCTTTTCCGCCATCTATTGGCCGTCCTTGGAGTCGCAGGGCCCATGCCAGAAAGTTAGGCAGTCCCCTGGAGGTGCTGGCACCCCTGCGGTGTTATGGTGGAGAGAGGCGCACTGGTTAATTTAAATGGTAACTGAACGAGGGCGAGAGTCCTGTTACAGAGCATTGTTTCAATCTGTCAGATTTGCCTTGGTTTCCTCATCTGTAAAATGGGACTAGCAGCCCCTGCCCTCGGTGTCCTTGGGTAGGTAAGTAACCAAATGGCAGCTTCCCTGCACCTATCTTTCAAGAGAGCACATCCCTATTTGTTTGGCCAGTGCAAGAAGTTCATGCAGGAAGGATGGACTGGAGCATGAGTGGGGGCATTTCAGAACCTGTTAGGAGAGAAACTCCAGCACTTTGTTGGGACTGTTCATTTCCATTCCTTCTTTGGCCTTCTCCCCATCCACCCCTTCCTTCCAACCACAAAAGCACTGGTTCTGAGAGTTTCCTAAGGGTTTTGAAATAATACTACAAGAAAACACTTTGTATATCGTAAAGTGCTAGCACATTGAGGGGTTATTCATGTTCCAGCAGTGAGCCTGGCACACAGAAGCTGAGACCTTATAAGGTCGGGGAGGCTGAGCCTTCAGGACACGTGACAGCAAGGACGTGAGAGCCTTTGGGCTTCTGCACCACTTGTCCTCGCTGTGCGAAATCCTCCTCTTAGGGTCCTCTCTTGATAGTCCCATCTCGGCTCAAATGTCACCTCTTTAGGGAGATCTTGCCTGATTCCCCAAACTGAAGAATCCCCCTCCTGACACCCGGCATTGACTTTAAATCACCTATTTTGGTTGCCCATAGAATCTCTCTTACTGCAGTGATCTTATGCATGTAATTGTGTGCTGATTGATTGCCTGATCCTGCAGTGTAAGCGCTGGGAGAACAGAGGTTTGTCTGTCTTCTTCGCCATGTCTCCAATGTATGGAACCAACAGTGCTTGGTCTGTAGTGAATGGATCAATGGGGGGCTGGAGAGTGGGTGTCTGGGTGGATGGGTGGGTGGGTGGATGGAGTGTAAGGCCTCTCCCTCAGCCCCTGCCCAGCGGCCGCCCTGAGACTTCTTTGTGCTTCCTCCCCTTGCAGTGAGCATGGAGTTCGGGCGGGCCGTGTGGCTCCGGTTCCACCCGTCGGCCTATCCGCCGTGCCCGCACCCGAGCTTTGTGGCACACTTGGGTGGCGTGGCTGTGGGCATCACACTGGGCGTGGTGGTCCTGAGGAACTATGAGCAGAGGCTGCAGGACCAGTCGCTGTGGTGGATTTTTGTGGCCATATACAGCATCTTCGTGCTGTTTGCTGTCTTCTGGAATATCTTTGCCTACAGCCTGCTGGACTTAAAGCTGCCGCCGCCCCCCTGACAGGCAGGAGGACCGAGGGCTGGGAGGGGTGGGAGCGGCGGCGTCAGAAAGGAGCACCTGTGTTCTTTTTCTCATCACCAGCTCAGCGAGGCCAGGGAGGAGAGGACAAGAGGTGCTGGGCTGCTGTCATCTTTGTGTTCAGGTTTGGACAGACAGTGGAGGCTCTTTTCTGAAAGCCACCTGCTGGAGGAGTGGGACATGACTGTCATTTTTCTAGACTCTTCTGAAGACATCGGGCCAGCAAAGGCCTGGGGTGGGGTGAGAGTGGCCGTTCTCTTGAGCCGAGCTTGTTCCATGTGTTCAGTGGTCCCCTCCTTTGTCACGGATTGGGCGGCAGCCTCATCCTCCACCCTGAGAGACCATAAGAGCGTAAGGAAGGCCTGAGGGGCTGGTAGCCAGGCAGCCCTTGTCCAGCCCAGAGACGCTGGCAGGCCAGGAAGGGCCCCTCTGCAGTCGCTGGCCCCGGAGCTTTGGAGCGGAGGTGGCTCTGTCCAGGGGGAGCCCAGGGTGCTGTCCTGTGCCTGTCAGTGGGCACTGGGCCATGGCCTCGAGCACCTGGGTGGGCAGAGAAGGGAGCGTCTGTAACTCCAGGCCATAGCCTTGCCTTGGGGTACCCAGCACAGGAACCTAAGCGAGAGGGAATTCATCCCAAGTTCCACCTTGGGGGAGGCCCTGCCCTGGACGTCTCCTCCCCGCCTCCCAGGATGCTGACATCTCACACCAGTGCCCCAGTGTCCCATGCCCAGCCTTATTGTTAGAGTCCTTTCCTTCCCTTCCATTGCGCCTCTGCTTTGGTTGTGAGACAGCATTCTGGTGCGTGTGCATGTGGTTTGGTGGGTGAAGATATGGGTGTGATGGGAAAGACAATGTGGAGCGAGTTGGAGACGGCAGAGGAAGGCTGTGAGGGGCAGTGGAGGTACGTGGAGGGGTCTATCTGAGAGGAAGGAAGGGGCTCAGCGGTGCTAGGGCGTGTGCGGTTCCTGAGGATCCTTGCTTTCAGTAGAGCTCTCCTCTTGTTTCCCACCCTCTGTCCCTCCCAGGCCGCACCCTGGGACTCACTGACCATGGGAGACTCACACCCTTCAGCACCACCCCCTTCCTGAGGTTTTCCTCACCTTTGCCACGTTCCACTCTGGTTCCCTCTGGAGTGGCCTTTGCTCTGTCTCCCATTGGAGGGAAGGAGCTTTGGGAGTGCAAGAGAGGCTGGGGCAGAAATATTGAGGCCGTGTGTCCTTTTGAGTTCAGGGGTCAGGAGGTTGCAGCAGAAGGAGTTCCAATGTAGGTGGAAAACTGCTTCTCCAGAAGAATTGTTGGGTGCGTGGATGAGAGTCAGAGGGGAGGGCAGCCTGGAGGCTCAGATTCCCCAAGCTGGGAGGGGACTTGGAGAGCGTCCAGCCCGTCCCCACCCCGCCCGGCCTCACAGGGGGCTGGCCTCCTAGCAGGGCAGGGTGGGCAGGATGGCCTTGGAGGAAGTGTTGTTCCCTTTATACCGCTCTGGGACCTCCCAAGCACTGTCAGCCCAGAGGGAGGCAGGAGCCAAGGCCATTCCCGCAGGAATGAGGGCAGGAGAGTAGGGGCTGTGTCTGCAGCCACTTGGCCTTTAGACCCAAGTGTCTACCGAGGTTCGAAGTCAGCCTGGCCAGGCATTCGGCGGTCTTGGGCCATTGTGGCTTCCTGTCCCCAGTGATCACACATAATTGGGCAGGGTCTTTCTACCCAGGACACCCACACTCAGCCCTGCTGCCCACTTTGCCCACTGCTAAATAGACTGTCCCCGTCCTCACACATGGCTCATCAGGTCACGCTGCCCTCGGGCCAACTCTGCGCTGAGGCCTGTCAGCCTGAGGGGACGCGGGCCCAGATCCTCCGCTGAGCCGCGTTGCCCTGAGCCATCTTATCTGTGCCCTGCCAGCCGTTCTCTGCCCTCCTGAGAGAAGGGCGTAGCTGGAGGAGTCAGCTGCCTGGGAGAGGAGACTCGGAGCTGGAACTGGGGGCTGAGAAGATGTGAGGGCAGAGAGGGGGACCTTGGCCCTGAGCCGCGGCTACTGCTGAACCTGAGAGGGGCAGGGCCTCTCTGCCAGACCCTCTCCTGGCACTCGCTCTTCTGGGTTGTAGATGGAGGGAGCAGAGAGCTGCTCCTCCCCCTGCCACCCGACAAAGGACTGCTGAGGCCTGGAGAGGAGCCTTCCTCCCTCAGGGCTGAAGAGACTATGAGCTAGGTGTCTAAGAGTCTAGAAAGCCCTGAGAAGCATCCAGTTCCCTCAGGGCTTAGGATGGGAATGTTAAGTGCCTGAGGTGGAAATCCCATCTGCCATCCTGTTAAGTCTGTCCTCCAGGTCTGGAGCAACCGAGAGCCTCATCTACACCTGGGCCCCCAGCTGAGAGGCAGCTGCTCCAGGTCAGCTGAGCACCCAGAGGCAACTCGGAAGTTCTTCGGTCTGCTTAGCAGAGCCACCTCCGCCATTGCTTCCAACCACCACTTCTAAGCAGGCCCACAGTAGTGATAACAGTCACTTCACACCACCCAGGTCTCTAACCCAGAGCCAGAGCCCGTGGTGTAGGGCTGTCTCCTCAGCAGGTCCCTTTGCTCCCTGGCTCCCAGCACCCTGCCGGCAGTGTGTCCCTGTCACCCCTCCTTCCTCCTCCACTGTTGGCCACATGGCCCGTGTGCCAAAAAGCCAAGGGTAGTGTGACTCCTCAGGCTGTGGAGTGAGGGTGGATTTTCACCCACATAACGCAGAAATTGAAATCTGGGGATTCCCCGAACAGCAGTCACAGACTCGCTCGCTCGTTAAACTGAAGAGGAATCACAGCAACTGGGGAAAGGAAAACAAACCTTCAAAGGAGAAATTTCGCTTTAATGACACCATTAATCATTCGTTTTTTAATTAGGAAAAGCTCCCTAATGAGGCGCTTTTGCCAGCTAATAGGAGTCTCAATTTCCAGGAGAACTATTCTTGCCCAAAGGATTAGGAGAATCATTGCTCACTGAGCCCAGATCTTTCCCCAGTGTCCAATTTCATTTACAAATAACGCAGGTTCCCCGGGCACAGCGGAAGCCCTTTCCTGGATTCATTTCGCCCCCAGGGCTGGCTGGAAAGCCCCAATGCTCCTCTGCCTTAAAAGCCAGTGCCCAACTCTGAACTGACTCCCTCCCCACCAAGGACTTGAGTAAGTGGAAAAACAAACAAACAAAAAACACAAGCTGCAATGTTTGTTTCTAAATATTTTTGTATTGTGTACATTCTGTATATTTTTGTTGTAACATTATTTGAGCACAAATTCCATTAAAGATTTTTTTTTTAAGCCATCAGTGGTTCAGAGAGTGACCTGAAGGGCTCAGCCTGTATTCACCTCGGTCTGGTCCAGGGCTGGGGAGGGGTGGGCAGCAGTGGTGGTGGGTCCGTGATTTATGTCCTACAGGTCTGGTGGCGTTTCTCGGTGCTGGTGGTTCCTAACCCTTCCTGGATTAGTGAACTCTTGAGTAGCTGATGAAAGCTATCATTTCTCTTCCCATAAAAATACAGACAGATAATTTTGTGTACAGTTGGAGGTGGGGGGCTGGCTGTGCATCAGGAAACTGATCCATCCAAAGCTTCAGATCAAGAACCTCTGTGCCAGCTGTCTGGTGGGCACCCCGCCTTCCCCTTCCACTCTTACGCTATACTCTGATGAGAGATGAATGTTTTGACTGCTATCATTAGAGGAATCTTCTTTGACATTTCTTAGGCACTTCCTTCTTTCCCTAGTAGCCTAGTCTTTGGGCCTTTCTGAGGACTGCCAACACCCTGATCTTGGTAAGGGATAGGAATGTTCTCAGAATAAAAGGGCGTGGTCAATTAGTAAAAGGGGAAAATGAAAGGAGCGTAAATGTGAAAGTCTGGTTCTTGGTAAGTTTAACAATCAAATGGGCTTTGAATGGATTGTTACTGGGAAGACCCGAGTCAGGGGAATTCCCCTCCTCAGTTCTTGTCTGACTTGCAAGAGAAGAATTCAGGTGAGAGAGAATAGTGGAATGAGACAGCAAGTTTATTTATGAAATACACTTGAGCACAAAACTATAGGCACTCACCCAGCTAATCTGAATTCTCCACATACAGAGGAAATAAAGTTGTTATTTAACACCTTTATTAAATAAAGTAAGTCTGTTAGTTTGTTCTATACACCTGAGCCAAAGCTACAGGTGGGTGCCCAGCTAAGCCGAGCGCCCTGACAATTGGAGCTCCAGGAGTTATACGAGGTCTGTGCAGAAAAAGTTCAGCCATTGTTAACATAACAAGAACAGTTTGCGTAACATTGATGTAACGTGGCAGCCAAGGAGAATGGACTGCAATCTGCATGCGTGAACAATGATGACGTCACTGTACTAGTCAGTAGGGGCGGTAGATGCTGTTGAGTGAGCATGTTTACCGTGTGGGTGTCGCATTCAAAATGAATGAGTAGAGCAACGAATCTGCATCAAAGTTTGCATTAAGTTTGAACATTGTTCTGCAGAAACTATTCAGATGATTCCAAAGGCTTTCAGGGATGACGCAGAGTACAATGCTAATAAAAGTGTGGTACAAACACTTCAAAGATGGTCAGGAATCTGTTGAAAGTGAAGCATGTTCTGGAAGGCCTGCTACGAGCAGAACACCTGAGAATGTTGAATATGTACAGGCTGCAATCAACAAAGATCAGCGACTGACAGTGCGAGAACTAGGTGAGCTGGGGATTCCAAAAACTACTGTGTCCAAGATTTTGATGCCGGATCTTGGCCTGAAACATGTTGTGGCAATTTTTGTTCCATGGCTTCTGCAACCAGAGCAGAAGGAACATCGTGCTGCAGTTGCTAATGACACTGGGAGAACTGTGTGAGGTCCCAAGGTGCCTACTTTGAAGGGGGCTGAGTTGTCATTGTCCTATTACAATATTTCTTGTACCTTGTATCTTCTTTAATAAATGTCCCTATTTTTCATATTACAGGGCTGGATAATTTCTGAACAGACCTCGTATACTTTTGTCAGCTTATAGGTTCCTCTCCCTTTTCCCCCTTCCAGACCTCGGGATTAATATATAGTTATAAAGGCTTTCTTTCTCAGCTAGTGAAATTGCTACAGAGGCTTCTTTTCCATAGAAGTAATACACACAGAATTTCAAAGGCTCTCCGCCTCTTGCGCTATTGTAGTTCCGCTTGCGATGTTCCGGATGCCTTGCGAACTTACAGGACAGGCTCAGGACTGGGGAGTCAGTGCAACGAGTGAGACATGTCTCCCACCTCCTCCCTGCCATAGTTTACTACCTGTCCTTCCTAACAGGTGCACCTTGAGACAGTGAATTGTTTTCACCAGTTTTTCTAAGCTAATGGCAGTGTATGAAGTTTTGCCATTCATTAACTGTTAAATTTCATTTGAGGATTAAGCTACCCTGTTAAATTCAGCATGGGAGTTGTTTCCCATAATGTTGTTTAGTATCAGTTTCCTGCATATCGTTTTAAAATATTTTTAAGTGAAGTCATTTACAGTACAGTTCCCGCTAGAGTGAACCCACTTGCGTTAGGAGTGTGAACTGACCTCTCCGGACAGACGACACCCGTCTCCATAGCTTTGTCTTTGTCCTCCGATCACTTTTCTGGCCCCTCCCTTCTACCAGATTCCCAGATTCTCATTCTTCCAATAACTTAATGTTTACCACCGTGAACACAGTTTACTGAGTACCGCAACAGGGGTGTCCAACCTTTCGGTGTCTCTGGGCCACACTAGGAGAAAAGTTGACTAGGGCCACACATTAAATACACGAACACTAGCAAGAACTGATAAGCAAAAAAAATGGTTTTAAGTAAATGTATGATTTTGTGTTGGGCCCCCTTCACAGCCATCCTGGGCCACGTGTGGCCTGTGGGCTGTGGGTTGGACACCCCCGTGTATGTGGCTAGGCACTGGATGACATTTTCAAGAAATTCTTTTCATTGTACAGCTACTTGGTGTGAAGTGGATCTCAATGTCCCCATATTTACACATGAGGGAAAGACTCAGGAAAATTTAGTAACTTCCTGGTGGCAGATGGCTTAGCTGGTTTCATACCCCCAGCTGCCTACTTCCAGAATCCATGCTCTCAGCCCTCAGGTGTTTGTACAGGGCTTGAATGACACCAAGTTCATAGAAGTGTCAGGGCGTCTGTTTAAAGATCCAGGCTCACTGCATTGGGGCCACCCAGTAACAGTAATGAACCTTGGAACATTCGCTCAGTGTTCGCGTAACAGAACCTCCCCTTTGCCCTCTCAGAAGTAGTTTACAAGAAAACCCAAAACAATCAGTTCATTATTCCTATCACCCCCCCCGCCCCCCCGCCGATTTCCAGAATCTAGCATTTTTGCCAAGTCGGAGAGATTTAGTCTGTCAGTCACGTTTAGGAAGTTGAGCGTTTATTGGCCTGGAGCTGCCTTCTTAAGCCTGCAAGTGGAAAGACCTCATTGAAGCCGGCAGGACGTCCATGACCGAGAAGACACTTGGTTAGGAAAGTGCAGTCCTAGTGACTGAATCTTACCTCTGAGAAGCCTGCAGGCTTTTCTGGCACCTGGTATAAGTGATCCTCTGGTAAAGGACAGGCATTCTGTCATGGTTAATAATGAAGGAGAGCAAAAGGAAGTGACCTGGGTTACTGAGATGTACAGGTGCAACTTGACTGGACAATGACTAAAACACTGTGGTGGAAATGGCTTACATCCTGCCTGATGCCTCTTGCAAGATGCAGAAAGATGTATTTCAGCAGGTGATTTGATTTTCTTCAACACATTCCTTAGTATAACAATGATCATTTCCCCATAAACTTGTGAAGTAATAAAAATGTCAGACCTGAGAATTGAGCTCATTAAATAAAAATGACTGTCTTGGTGAGAAGTTGCTTTATTATTATTATTACAAATATAATCATGGATAAACTGAAACCATTTCTTGACACATGACAAACATACATTTCCTATGTGCATACGGGACACAGATACATAAATGTATTCCACATTGAATAAATCCTTTTTGAAACTAAAAAGTAATACATTAGCTTATTAAGATTTGAATACAGTACAGGTTTCTGGTCATGAGCTCTCTGAATTTCTTCTCATGAACAATAAGACATTTAATTCCATGACACCATTTTCCTTGTCTACAGTAGTGACGTACAGTTTGTCACAGACTTTTAAAATAAGACTGTATTGTATACAACTGTGTAATGTAGAGTGCCTACATCACAAAATATATATAAAAGTACACATAAAGAATTTATAATTATACCTTGACTATATTAATGAAGCCGGTAATACATTTGCTTTTAAATGCCATTTACAACATGGATTCTTGAATGACATGTGAATTTGAAAATGAAAAATATGTTTCCAAACTCAAAATGTTGATGTCCTAATGTTGTTGATTTAAAAAATTAATTTCCAAGAGGGCAACCAGTACATTAGAAAAAGTTGGATTCAAGGGAAGTGCCATAAAATTGCTTACTTCCGTAGTTATTCTGAATTTAATGCTACTTGGATTTTTTTTCCAGCACTGCCTACAATCCGAGTTATTAAAGTTTAAAACCATAGGAAAGCCTTTATGAAGACCCTGAATTGTATTTCTCATTAAAGGAAAAAAAAATGGCTTGGTGAGCCAGGCCCCCGACCTCTGGAGAAGACAAAGCAGGCCACTGTCAGTCATTATGAAAGTTAAAACTCAGCACTTAATGTGAATCTATGAGTTTAGGAGAGGATTTTTATGAACTCCTATTCCTCCACACATCCCGAGGGCAGTGAGAACATGAGACTTCTGATCCTCTAAACAAAAATCATTATCAAATGGATTTAGTAAAGGCCAGGCAGCACAAAAGGCAGTCCTGTGAGTAGCTACAACTGTCTTCCGTGGGAACTATAAATGCCTCTAGCTGAGGGCACTTTGACTGATTCAGAGCAACACAATACGAGGCTTGTAAACAAAGTACAAAACACTAAAAGCAATGAGTAACTCTGATACAAAGAACGATCGTGTTATTATTTACTTATAAAATGAATATGCTTCATTTTTTCTTTTTTAACACTCTTTAAAAACTCCGCCATTCTCATATAAAAGAAAATACAGGCTCTCAGCTAACACCTGTGAGCAAATGAAGAGAAGGAAAGTGACAGGGGCCGCCTCTCCAGTAGCTTTCCATCAGTTTCATCTTAAAGCTAGCACGTCTATTTTCAAAGCTCATTTATTTTCTTTACACACTCACGGTTGATTTGCATATCAACTTAAAAAGCTGGCTTCATCATCCATGTCATTATCAAGCAGACAAAAATCTACCAAGCACCCACAGGATGCACAGATCTGTCTTTGAAATGGTGTGATGGTGCAAAACTGCCCTAAGACTAGGAGTACATTTTGACAAAGACATATTATGACTTTTCTGAGAGCAAAGGTTGCTAAATGCTGCAGCAAACTCCTGAGAGAAGCCACAAAATCACCTCTGTAGTTTTTTAAGCAACAGCTCCCTGAAGTATTCAGAATTCATGGGACCAGCAATGTACTATAATTCTACAGCTCTTAACACACATCTATTTAGGACTCAAGACTTTCCTCAGAGTTTCATGTCTAATTAAGTTAAATTTTAAAAATACAAAGATGAAAAAATCTAGAATGCATTTCAAATCATCTTCAATAACAATCCCATGCAGCTTATAACCACTGCAATGCCAAACACCAGTGCTGGAATCTACAACCTCACAGCACAGTTATCTCAGAACACACATCAGGAATTTTGGGTGGGAGCTTCGTTCATAAATTCTTCGAGGACAGCCACCACATTTTTGGCTTCGGGCATTTCTTCATGTTCCACTTTAACAATCTTCAAAAGGATATCTCCACTACCACAGTTCTTTAGGAACATGTAACATTTAAACAAAGCGTAATGATTCATTTCTGCCTGTCGGATAAATCTCTTCAAGTTATTTGTGTCTTGTATGGCCTAGAAAAAGATTACCCCATTAAATATGTGTTTAGTGAGAGGATAATGAAGCCTGAAAAGTATTTCCTATCCAGCTCAAGACTCAACATATGTTGCTGTTTGTTTTTTATTTTAAATATTTCCTCACTTTTATCACTGATTGCTACACCCTTGGTAGAACAAAATCTCTTATATAAAGTAAAAATATTTTAAAAATCTCCTAAATAAGGTGACAACACTCCTCCTCACTAGAATTTTGAACTCTTAGGCACTAAATCACTTTTTTTGTGTGCTTTCCAACTAGGATATGTCACAAATTATAAGGTGGATATCCCTGAGATGGCAACAAGCATTCAACCCAATTAACTGGAAATGCAACGATATGTATGCAGAAGCCACTGAAAAACATAAAGTAAATGCCTTCTGAGGATTCTAGTTTTGAGAAAGTCCTATTTATATAGACAACACAGCTACAAAGCAGATTTGTAACTCTGTCACTGATACTAATTGAAATTCAGACAAAAATTATACATGGCACTTGGCATGCAGACAATTAATTACCTTTAGTTTAAAGTTCTCCAGTACTTGTCGAAAAAGAAAAGGGTTACCTCCTTCAGCACCATTCAAAAAAGCCTGCATCCAATCCTCACAAAATCGGTTGCTTCCTGTAAAATATTTTAGAAAAATTAAATAAAAATGGAATCCTATATAGCACAGACATCTATTTTTTTTTTTAATTTTAAATTGAGGTATAATTGACATTAGTTTCAAGTGTACAACATAATGATTTAATGTCTGTATACATTGTGATATACAAATACACACTTACAATGAATTATTTAAGACTTGTATGACAGTCTAAGAAAGCAGTATTCTCACCACCTGGGTAAAAAATACCAAAATGGTTGAAGTCCCCATGTGCTGCTTCCCAATTGCCTTCCTTCTCTTTTCCCATCAAAAAGGATTATCATTCCCATGTATTTCTTTAAACTCTTGCCACATACTTTTTTTTTTTTTATCTCTAAGCCCTATATAATATTGCTTTGCATATGTCAAAACGTTATGTACTTTTCTTTAATGGCTGTTTCACTAGTATGTTGGTGAGCTACATGGAGACATGTAGATCTAGTTCATACATTTTCACTGGTATATAGTATTGCACTGCATGACTATAGCAGTTTATGAGAATATTTTCCTGTTGATGGAAGCATTTAAGTTGCTCCCAATTCTTTGCTATTTCAAACAAGGCCTTTATAAACATTTTTGTATTTTCTCCTTATATAAATTTACAAGAGTTCTTCTATATCCTTGGGAGTAGAGTTGCTAGGCATGGCGTGATTTTTCACGTTTCTAGAACTGCTATTGTTTGTGGTGAGTCTAGAGCCAGAAGGGTAAGTCCATACCATTTGTTCGGAGTACAAACACAGAGAGATTCACAAGAGCCACACGAGGGCTGCTTCAGAGGCTGGGACTCACCTGCATTGGAGAACTGCGGCTGGGAGCCACTGCAGTCTATGACCACAGACTTATGCTGCTCCTCTGTCATGGCCATGCACAGCGACGTCATCGTGCCTTCGTGAATAAGGCCTTGAAGACTGGCCACACTCAGAAACCTGTCACACACATAGTCATTTTCCACAAATAATTTTGCAGGATGGGAGGGAGAAAGCAAATTCATCCTGCACCAGGGGGTTTTAAAGACATAAATACCAGGCTTACTGCATAAAAGTTTCTTTCCAGAGCTATTCTTTACCTGTTAATGTCCCTCTTTGTTTTTTCATCTGATTCTTTAACCTCAACAGGAGTATAACTCAGAGCCTAGGGAGAGAAAAATAAAGGCTAATTGATACATATGTTCCAGTTTTCCTGACTGAGCAGCTCCTGTGACTAATCATTCCCTTGCCCCAAGCGCCGCGGCACCCGGGGGGCCCTGCCCAGGAGCTCTCCAGAGCCTTGTTCAGCTGCTGCTCACAGACAGTCTGAAACTGGCTTCCCCCCTTCGTCTCATGGGACCATCCAGTCTCAGCTGCATCTACCCACCACAGATTTTAATGAAAAACATGGCCATCTACTGAAAACTCCCCCCGTGTCTGGGTATTTTAGCAACTTTTTATTTTGACCTGGACATTTTTATGTAGTTAAAACACTTTCAGGCTTTGTTTTCCTTCTCAAATTATTTGGGAAATTATACCTCTCCCAGATCATTTCAAAAAGTAATTATTTTAAAATATTTTATTAGGTAGACTCTCTATTTGCAATTCTACCTTACTAATGTAGCTTTCTAGATCTGAGTAGAGTGCTTCCAAGCATAATTTGAATAAATACTTGTAGGGAAAAATGTTAAAGAATATGAATAGGTCTTTAAATAAATCGAATTCTGCTCAAGTGGTTCTCAGGCAAGGAACTGCTTTTTCTTTGGGCCACACTTACAGCATGGAGCAAAAATGTAAGCTTCTCCTGAAAGAGCAGAACCACCCTCTGGATTGGGCACACAACATCCTCAAACCAGCTGCTCAGGTAGGACTTCGTGTGGTTCTCCAGGCCCTTCTCCTAATCAAGAGAGGATGGCATTGCTTTAAGACAAGCCTTCACCTTAGTGGACTTAACAGTTTCTTCATGATACTCTTGACAGTGAAAATAACTGGGGACAGATACCTCCTTTTTGTAAGCAAATCACCCCAACTCAAAAAATAAAACCAGGAATTACGCTATAAAACTCACTCAGAAGTGCACTGTAGAAAAGGAAAGACTGCAGAGGGCTGTGCTTTCTTCACTGGGAGGAGCTGTGCACCACATGCCCATCTCCTCGCAGTGCCCTGTGTGCTTAGTGGACACACTCCCAGTAATTCTCTCCCCCCAGCATCTGAAACCTCTATGCATTAGCTTACGAAGTGCTAGTTGAATGACTGAAGGCACGTACAGTTCATTCACACTCAAAATGTGAATGGGGAAGGATACAAGTTAACTCATCAAAGCACCCAAGCCCACTCCAGCTGTCGGCCCTGCTGCCATGAGCACATCTGGCTTCTGAGGCTGTGCCGCTCCCTGGGGACTTAGTGGAACAGCTCCAGTCTGGGAGAACAGCTCCCCCTTTACTCATTTCCCTGGCTCACTCCTGGGCTGTCCTTTCCTGCAGGGTCTTAGAAGTGCGTAAGTGAAAAGAGTCATTAATGGCTAATAAGTTTATAAGAGTTACGACTGAAAACTGCTATAAGGCATAGTTTTAAAAAGGTAGAGATAAATAAATGGATATGGGTATAGCTAATTCATAAAAGATCAATGAATGAAAAATGGAATATTTCTAAAAATCTTTGATGTGGAGCTCCAGGACAGTCATATGATCATATAGCACATCTCAGGTACCAGAGGCTTCGTGGACCGTTAGTTCTGACCATAACGTAAAGCTTATGTGCCTAGAAATCAGGAGAAGAACACCCTCTTCCTCACTGGGCATGTTACCATACAACACCTAATCTGATGGATTCAATTTTTCATAGAAACAAAACATCAAAAGCAGTCTTGTGAAACTTAGGGCACTTATAGTTCTATGTTCCCTGCTTCCCTTAACAAGTACCTTTCAACTAGCTCTCAAAGGAGCACATTTTCAGAATTTAGGTGTTATTGTGTCTACTTGTGTGATTTGACAAGTATAGCAGTTATAGTATGTTAATCATCTTAGTCTCAAAATACTATTGAATCAATCACCTTACCTCACAGCTCATGTTGTTTTTTAGCCCTTGAATGTACTTGTCCAATTCAAGCCTGAAAGTATGTTCTTAAGGAAGTAATAAAGGATGAGTTAAGACAGTGTTTCTTCCCTCAATAGGAAATATAAAATCTTGCAAATAACACAAACTGTAATTAAAACAAGCCTAGACAAGCTGGTTGTATGAAGGTATGAAATTCAAGTAAATACATAAGGGGTAAGAATGCTTCTTGGAGTTTGGGAGTAATAACCCTCCACTTGCCTCCCCATGATTTCCTTCCTGATCTCCTCAAAGACCAAAGAAAGGATATAGCTCAAGTCCTTTTTCAGACCCTCCTAAAAAACAGACCACGTACTCTGAAGGGTTATGGTCAGGGTCCACTGCTGCTGTTTCAGGAAGCAGTTTTTCCTGTTGGAAAAGGCAGTAGTAACAACCAACCCGGTAACCCGGAATTCTGGAAAAGAAAGAAAAAGGTACATCGTGTTAGCCTGGTAACTCACGCATCTGACTTTGTGAGGCTCTCCAAACCCCCGTCCTACTGATCTGGCAATGCTGCTATACTGCTGACTAGGTCAGAACTTTCCAGACTTCTCCATGGTTTACTTGTAAGAGCAGAGGAAAATGAACGTATACCGTGATGGGCTTCAGCTAAATTTCTTTAAACTCACCTGTTTTATGTGGAAAATTCATGCAAATTTCACTCTTGGTCATAGTACATTCCCATCTACATAAATATAAGCATGTTCCCTTCCCCCAAACTTCACGAATCACGGAAGCACCAGGCAGCTGTGACAGGTTTGTCCTGTGGCCTTATCTTTGACCCGTGGCCTCGTATTCATGAGGGGACCTGATGCCAGCATCATGGTCTGAAGGGAACTACAATCAAGGGGTGGAATACGGATGGAAAGGCGGATGGAATTCAACTGAGCGCGCCTGTATTTAAGCCTGAATTCCATGGATATGACCCAGCCTTGAGACATGAACTTCTCTGAGTTTATTTCCTCATCTGAAAATGTAAGCGAACCTGCTCTATCACCCCTTTGGAGAGAAAGGGGTCTCAAACTTTGTGAAAGCACTTTGTAACTGTAAGGTATACAACTTTAGTTGTGGTAACTAGTTCTTTTCTTTGAAGTACAAGACCAAATAAGCACCTTAGGAGGCAAAGTCTCTGCACTGAATGAATTCCATTCCACAAATGTTTATGTGTAAGGCCCGGTGCCCAGGGAGGCAGAGAACAAGGATGAATTTCCTAGGTCTAGTGAGAGCTGATCTTTTGAAGTTTCTCATCACTTCTCATATTTAGCTCAGAAATAAAAACTCAGGACACAGCACATTTTACACTTACCTCAGCTCCACAGATGCAACATTACCCAGTCCTTCAAAGACTGCTCCCTTAGAAAGACGCTTAGCAATGAAACTGCGCAACTCTGGCTCCACTTCCGATGGTAGATTAGTATCAGCCAAGGAGAGGCTTAAAAAATGAAAGACACACAGTACTTACCAGTGGACTCCTGCATTTATACTCCAAAAGTCAGCCAGGTTATTACTAAAAGCCAGAGTCCCTTTAAGGACTTGCAAAAACTTTCCATCTAACTCCTGTTGGTGAGGCTTCTAGGAATGTATGTCACTAAGTATGAGATATCTCATCAAACAGGTTAAAATTATACTATCTTTCTGGCCCATTCTGTCTACTATTATGACTGTTGGGAGCCCCAATCCACTGGCCTTACCAATTTTTCATAGTCCCTCAAGTTTCCTATTTCAGTTCTCTCCTCCTTACTCCTGACTCTGAAGTCAGTCATAATCAGATTCCTGCACACATTCTCTCTCATTCTCTCTTTTATTTTTTAAGAGGGGAAGGGAGGGAGAAAGGGAAACATTGGTGAGAGAGAGAAACTTGATTGGCTGTCTCCTGTACGCACCCAGACCAGGGAGGGGACCCACAACCTAGGCATATGCCCCAACTGGGAATTGAATCCATGCCCTTTCGGCTTGTGGGAAGATGCCCCACTAACTGAGCCACACCAGGCCAGGGCCCTGCACACATTCTCATCCAACCCCTTACTTCCCCCTCACCGTACTTGCTTAGCAAAACTTCAGCCCTTGTTAGTCCAGCTCTCTACCTACTCTGCCCATGCATCTATGCTGCGAATATGATTGGACAAAAACATTCACAGTGTCTGGTCTCATTTTAAATTAAAGATCACTAGCCTCAAGTGGGCTCAGCTATAATTACATTTCCTGGTTCACTCACTCTTCTACTCTCCTAGGTCACTATTTTATGCCTCCTTTTTTTTCCTCAATCCTCCATCTACTTCTTACTCATGAATAAACACTCTAGCTTAGCAATTGTTTTTGAACTAAAAGAAAAATTTTAGTTTGGTTTATATTAGAATATAGTCTATCACTTGAATAGGGAAGAAAAGGTCTTCTATCACCAAACTTCCCAATAGAGAATATGAACCCAATACTTTTCAAGGCCTTTTGTTTAATGTTACGGATAATTTCAAACATATACAAAGTAGAGCGAACAGTATAATGAACTTGGATATACCCACCACCCTGTTTTAACAATTGTCAGTTTATGACCAATCTTGTTTCATCAGTACCCCATGCTTATCTGTACCCTTCCACCTTCCAGATTTATTTTGAAGCAAGTCCCTAGCATCACATAATTTCAGCCTTACATTTATCACTAAGTATCTCTACTTTGCATCAAGTGTTAAGGCTCGGTCATTCATTCCCTTAATAAACATGTATTAAATGTCTACCGTGTGTCAGATGCCACTCAGAGAACTAGGCAGGGTGACATCAATGAACAAAAAAAGACAGTAATGCCCACTGTCCTGAAGTTTATATTTTAGTGTGCAGCAGAGGAACTATGAAAGGGTATTTTAATGGTTTAAAAAAAAGGATTTAAAATTTCTTGGTACCCGCATGATACTGAATATTTATTTAATGGATTTCCAATTAAGAAACTTAGAATAATTGTCTCTGGCTAATCACCCTGGGCACTATCAGTATTTGGATCTATCTCGGCCTTGAATACGGTAATGAGGAAATCAAGATGAGGTTCCTAGGAAATAGTGGACTTGCTGGTTTGACTCGGGGAAAGCTGAGTGGAAAGAGGATATCCATGGACATCTGCAGGCCAAAGCAGCACCAAAACTAAAAGCCCTGGCGTGAGTTATGGTCAAGCCGTTTTTACCTGAAATCATCACCAGAGGGAGTTTCTGCATTTGTGCCACTTGGGCTTCCATCATCACTGTCCCCTCGCTGCTGTGCCAATCTACACGCCACAAAAGCAATAAAACTATCAGTTATGGGCTCTAACTCAGACGGAATACAAGGGATCCCCAGCCAACAGGGTAGGGACTAACAATCAACTAAAATGCTGCAAGGGATAAGTTCCTATCCTCAAGACACGCAAACCCATACAACAGAGCTAACAGAGTCCTTTCTCTGTTCAGCTACATAAGGGATGCAGGGAAGGAAATTAAATATCCAGAAGAGTCAAGGGCATTTCCTCTAAAAAAGCAGACTGGGCCAAGAGAGCGCCAGGAAAGTCGGCGGGGCGGACGGAAAAGAGGCAGCAAGGGTCGGATGAGTTGGGAGGGGGGGAGGGGAGGAAGTGGGGAGTTCAAGACAGGAAGAACGGGGGATGGAAACGGACATTATTGAACACGCAAGGCACTGCGCTAAACAAAGGACACGGTGATAAAAAGGGAACGAGGAAATGACAGGACCCGCTGGAGCTCGCGAGCACCAGGCCCAAGTCCCGGGTGGGGGCCCGGAAGAACGGCGCGAGGCGAGGAGGGCGCTCGGGCCTAAAACCCGCGCCTGGGAGAAAAGATGGCGTTCGAGCGCGCCAGGGCGCCGGGCCAGGGGTGCGTGGCGGGGCCGGGGCGGGGCCACAAGGACCGCCGGGCGCTGCACCTGCTTCCGCGGTAGCTGTAGAGACAGTAGTGACTGGTAGGCGGTGGCTCGACTCTTCGCTCCTCAGCGGAGCCACCTTCTTCGCTGCTCTCCAGCTCCTTTTCATCCCCATCCAGCGATTCCTGCAAAGAGGGGAGCATCGCGGCGGCCTCCGGGAGGCCCTGTGTCCCCTGCAAACCGCTCCCCCGCTGCCGTACAGTCCTCCCTGGACGTGTTCGTCCGGCCCCCGACCCTTGTGCACCTGCGTTCCGCTAGTTCGCTTGGGTTCTCAGGCGAGGAAGCCGGCCTGTAAAGGCGTTTCTCCCCGCAGGGGCTAGCGGACGTACAAAATTACCTTTACGGAACTACGTCTACCAGTTCTGGTTTGACTCCTTTTTCTCCTCTCTCTACGTCTGGGAGACTTTTAGCTAAGGACGTGGAAAAGATAAAGCTGCTCTCCTACCTCCTCTCAGGCGCGCAGAGCCACATCCACCACCAGTTTGATTAAAGATTTAAAAATTAAAAACGACGCCCCTCCCTTTAAAATAAAAGGTGAAAACACGGAAAAATTGTTTTAAATGCTTGAAGAAGGCCTTTCTAAATATAACGGAACACTTAGAAGCCATACAGGAAAAGAGTAATAAACCTAACTATGTAAAAACTAAACATTTGTGTGTGGCCCAAAGTCAAAAGCACAACTAACTAGGAAAAATATTTGCAACCTATATCATAGATGAAGGGCTGTCATTTAACAACAACAACAAAAGTGGACAATGGGTAGCTCACAGAAGAAAAAAGAATACAGAAAGTGCTCAACTTTAAATAAAATTATGGTATATTGTACTACTTTTTACCTAGCAGATTAGAAAAGATTTAAAAATTTGATACTACTCTGTTGGGGTATGTAAGGAAGCAATCATTCTCATAAACAGTTGATAGTAGTAAAATTAATATACATGATTTGGAAAGAAATTTGAAAATATCAATATTTTAAATTTTTTTTAAATTAAATTTAATGTATTTATTGCTCCCAGAGAGAGAGAGAAGGGAGGAGGGAGAAAGAGAGAAACACCTATTGGTTGCCTCCTGTATGTGCCCCCCATCACCACATACACACAAAACCCAATCAGGACCGAACCTAGGTGTGTACGCTGACTGGGAATCAAGCCTGTTACCTTTGGTTCACCAGACAACACTCCAACCAACCAAGCCACACTAGCCAGACTACTAATATTTTAAATGCACATGCCCTTTGACTATCAATGCAACACTAGGATATCATCAAATAGTTACAGTCACTTAAGTATGAAAATATGTGAGTCCATATATTCCTTGCAGCAAGGTTTGTAATGTTAAAAAACTAGACACAATCTGAATGCTGTTCAATAGGGGAACAATTAAATAAGTTATGGTACATGTGATTGTAGGCAGAATAATGACCACTGAAAGATGTTTACATTCTAATCTCTGGAACCTGAGAATGAGTTAGTTCATGTAGCAAAAGGAATTTTGCAGGCATGATTAAATTAAAGATCTTGAAATGGGCAGATTATCTTGGATCATCCCAATGTGCCCAATGTAACCAGAAGAGGCTTTATAAGAAGGAGACAGGAGACCAGAGAGGAAAAAGCAATTTTGATACCTAAAGCAGAGATTGGCATGATTTGGCATCACAAGGCAAGGAATTAATGCATCCTCTAGAAGCAAGAAAAGGCAACAAAAGTCTCTCTGATCCTTCAGAAGAAACACATCCCTGCCTACCCATTCAAACTTCTGACCTCCATAACCATAGTGTAGTAACTTTGTGTTGTTTTAAGCCACTAACTTTGTGGTAATTTGTTACAGCAGCATTAGGAAACGGATACACATGTGTATCAGAAGACTATACAGCTATTAAAAATGAATTAGAATATGTGCACATATAGAAACACAATCCAGTATTTAAGTTTTTTGTCCTAAAGGAGCTGGCAACACAAATGAAGAGACAAGGCATGCACATGAGGAAGGGCAGAATGTGATAATTTCCAAGAAAGCAATGTGGACAGCAATCTTAGGAATCTTATTACTGGCCTCAATCTTGACTGTCTGTGAACATAATCTGAGGACATTAGGCTTTGCAAGTTTGTCTATTAACTGCCAACAGCAATAATAATATCTATAGCATTTATAATTTAACAACTGCTACCTCCTTAGCAGTAACCATGGGTCAGGATATTTACCTATTTTATTTCATTTATCCTTGGACCAACTCTATAACATAGGGGTTAATCCTCATTTTATAGAGGAGCAAACCAAGGCTCAGTCAATATAGTGATCAAACTGTGTCTATCGGACTTGCAAATCCATACTCTTAACTGTTATTTCATACCGTACTCACTTGCTTGGGTCTTAGGAACAACCCTGAGAATAAGGCCCTAATAGTGTGGTGTACAGGGGTCTGTACCCTAGCCTCCATTTCCCCCTCTGACTTTCTTTCCCATCACCGTCCCCCTTGCTCACTCTGGCCTGGCCACATTCCTTGGTGTTTCTCAATATCTCCAATCTTTTTTTTCCCAGTTGAACAGTCTTTTACTTTGCTCTTCTCTCCACCTGGAATGCCCACAGGTATTTCCATGTTTTCTTCCTTCACATCATTCAGCTCTCTGCACAAATGTCACCTCCTCAGAGGGATTTTCTCTGACTGTCCTATGCAAAACATATCGTACACATGCCTATCCCATCAGTCTATAGCCTATTTTCATCCCAGTTATCACACCTGACATTATGTATTTGTTTACTGCCTGTTTCCCCCTCCCCCAGAATGTCAGCTTGTTCACTGCTGTATTGTCTATTAGCTTATGGCCTATAGTGCTCAAGAACTGTTTGCTGAATTAAAGAGTTTGCAACCCCTCAACATCATTTTCTTGCATGTTTCACTTTACACCATATTAAAGATATTAAAGTACACCTCCATTCCACATTAACTTTATGTAGAAAAATAATGGCGAACATTTGTTGAGCATATGCTGTGTGTGAGGACTCTTCAGTCCTTTACAAATACTCATTTCATTCTCACAATCCCATGAGGTAGGTGCTATTATGTTTTTTTAATTTTTAAAAACATGCTTATTGGCTTTAGAGAGAAGAAGGGAGAGAAAGAGAGAAACATCATTGTGAGAGAGAAACATCTACTGATTGCATCCCATACTGGGGAACCAACAACCTAGGTAGGTGCTCTGACTGGGAATTGTACCCCCAACCTTTTGGTGTACAGAATGATGCTCCAACCAACTGAGTCACACCAGCCAGGGTAGTAGATGTTATTATTATCCCACTTTACAGATGAGTAAGCTTAGGCCAGTTCCTTTTGTTTGTGGTAAAACAGCTAGTAAATGGCAAAGGGACATTGAAATGCAAACACTCCGGCTCTATACTTCTTAATACCACAAAATTGTGTTGGGGGTGAGTTGTTGACCTAAAATTATGTGTTGTAGCCATTTAATTGAACAGTCATTAATTTCAGCGTTGCTTTGTCTTCACTTATTTAGATATTTAATTTCTTACAACAGTATTTTGATTTTGAACTTCTTTTGTTAAATCTATTCCTGTTTTATTCTTTTTGATGCTATTGTAAATGGAAATGTTTTCTTAGTTTTGTTTTCAGATTGTTTGCTGCTAGTACATAGAATTACATTATTATTTTTGTGTGTGTGTGTATTTTGATCTTGTATTGTGAACCTCGTTGAACTCTTACTAGTTCTAGGTTTTCTTTAATGGATCCCTGTGGATTTTCTAAACTCTGGCTGCTGTAACAAGGTACCACAGACTGAGTGCTTTAAGCAACAAAATTTATTGCCTCACAATTCTAGAGACTAGAAGTACAAAATCAAGGTGTCAGCAGAGTTTGTTCCTTGAGAAGTGATCTTCCTTCTATGTTTCTTTACATTGTCTTCCTTTTATGCGTTATCTCTGTGTTCAAATTTCCACTTTTTATAAAGACATCAGTCATATTGGAACAGGATTCACCTTAATGACCTCACGTTAGCTTGATTACCTTTGTAAAGGCTCTATCTCCAAATAAGGTCATATTATGAGGTACTGGGGATTAGTACTTGAAGTTAATTTTTCTTTGTGTGTGTAGGGGGGAGAGACACAATGACTCAATTCTACCCATAACAAGATCATGTCATCTGTGAATAGATACAGTTTTACTTCTTCCTTTCCAATCTGAATTCCTTTTATTTTTCTTGCCTAATCACCCTGGCTAGACTACCAATACAATAAATAGAAGGGATTAGAATGGACCTCCTTATATTGTTCCATCACCTTTCTTAATTTTTGTTTTTGGTAGAACACTGGGAACTATCTAAAATTATCTTTAAAAACTTTTTAAAGAGATTTTATTTATTTATTTTTAGAGAGAGGGGAAGGGAACAAGAAGGAGAGGAAGAGAAACTTCAATGTGTGAAAAAAACATTCATCGGCTGTCTCTCACAGACACCCCAACAGGGGCGACTGGCCCAGAACATGTGCTCTAACCAGGAATTAAACTGGTGACCTTTCATTTTGCAGGACAAGCCTCAACCAACTGAACCACGTTGGTCAGAGCTATCTAAAATTATCTTGCTTGCTTGTTGACTTTAGGAAGGAAAAATAAATGACTTCCTGCTTCACTATCCTGCTTCAGATCAGTTTCTTCTCTCACCTGGATTACTGTCACATTCTCTACGACTGGACTCTCTCTTAGCCTCCACCAATCCACTGTTTACACTGTGGCCAAAGCGGTTTTTCTAAAACATAAATCTGATGCAGCTTCATACTTACTAACTTTGTGACCTTGAATAAACTACTTCAACTTTCTTTCTTTTATGATTTTATTTATTTACTTTTTAGAGAGAGGGGAACGGAAGGAGAAAGAGGGGGAGAGAAACATCATGTGGGAGGGAAACATCTATCAGTTGCCTCCTGCATGCCCCAAGCTGGGGACCTGGTCCTCAACCCAGGCATGTGCCCTGACTGGGAATCGAACTGCTGACCTTTCAGTTTGCAGGCCTGCACTCAATCCACCAAGCCACCAAGCCACCAAGCCACACCAGCCAGGGCACTACTTCAACTTTCTTAACCCTCTTTTCATCTATTATTAACACGGTGATAATAATGGGACCTACATCACAGGCTTGTTGAGACAAGTCATGTAAAATTTACTACAATGCCTGGCACACAGCGTTTCATCAGTGTCTGCTATTACTTTTTCATTTTTAATAGTAACATAAAATTTACATTAATAGCTATTTCTATGTGCTATGCTCTATTCTAAATGCAGCAGAGGAAGTTTATATGGCTTGCTCAAAGTCATGCAGGTAGGCAGTGGCACTGGTGAAAAATGAACCCAGGCACTATCTCATAAACTTGCATTATTCGCTAATTGTTCTCTTAAGGTGGAAGCTGTGGCTGATCTAAGAGATACAAACTCTTAAATATTGTTATCTATATTTGGTGCATAGGCATTTGTACGTAGCTAATGTTAAGCCATAACGGCCAAGCTGGTCATGACCTTGAACCTATGCACTGGATATATGCAACAAAAGAAAAGAGTTTGTTTGTATCTCTCAGGTGCAGACCTCTGCAGGGTGAAAACTCCTGTTGTTTCAGAAAGACTTCGGCACGAAGCCCAACTCTTCAGTCTGCTTCTGGGGTCTCTAGAAGTTGCCCTTGCCAGCAAGCCTCCCTAGGATTACCTCTTGCCACCAGCCCCCTTACTGTGAGCTCCAGCCCTACAACTAGTTTTTCCAAGCGCTCAGCCTCAAAGACTTGCACTTTTTGCTCCGTTAGTGAGATACTCTGTTCTCCACCTCGCGTTTTTCCACTGACCCTTCAGGAAACCTTTCTTGACACCTAATGACAGCCAAATGTAAGGGCTTTTCTTCTGCGGTGTCTCAGAACCTTATATTTTCTTCACCTGCGCGTTTACCACGCTGCGTTACTTCGTCATCTGTCACGAATCTGTGACTGCGATTTCTTTGACTTATTATTTAAGTAAGCAAATGTTCATTCAACACTTAACTACAGAAAGGATAAATCAGGGTAATGAAACAAAATTTAAAACTGGACGCTGTCTCAATTATACTTTATTTATAGTCTGCCCTTAATTACACCGATAACGTTTTCAACTTTTTTCCCCTTCAATTCGCGAATTTCTCAGTAAATCTACGTAGCCTGCTACTTTACAAAGGAACCCCGAAAGGATCAAGGAGCAAAAAACATGTCTAGTGAAGACATATTAAACGGAAAAGATGGCGACCGCCTCTCAGCGGCTGCGAGTTCCCTCCTACTCAGGGTGGAGGCCGGCATCATGTGACCCTTCCCCTGCTGGCACCGCCTCCGGCCGCAGTGCCTGACGGGAGGCAGAGCGGTGAACGAGGCCGTCGGCCATTTTGTGTCTGTTTCCTGCGGGACGCGGTGGTGGCAGTTGGGTCTGATAAGTGAGCGATTTTGGCCTCGTTTTTCCTGCTTATTTTCTCCTCCCTTTTTACTTTGTCAGTAGAGCCTAGTTATGGGTCGCAAGAAGAAGAAGCAGCTGAAGCCGTGGTGTTGGTATCCTTTGTCAGTTGGAAGTCGTGGCCGAGCTGGGGCGCCGGTTGGTGGTGACTGGGACTGGGAGGCCTGACTGTGGCCTATGGCGGAAAGTGTCTAGGATCTGGGCCTCGGGTGGGTGGCTTGGTGGTTGGATTCGGACTTAGGAAGTGTGATCGGGAAATAGGTCTCAAGGGCGAGAGGCTCTGGCAGCTAGGGGTCGTGGGATTCCGTGATTCAGAAGATTCGTGGTTTACTGCGAGTGTTGACCCACTGGGAGGAGGCTTGGACCCTCCATCAAGGACAGTGTCCCCAAGGACTATTGTGTTATATCCCGTTGTTTTGGTGACGATTCAACAAAGAGATTTTCTTCAAGTAAAATTCTGTGACGGTACGGAGGATTAGGGAGTGCCTCTGGACTTAGTCACCCACTTTTGCCGGATTTTGGGGGGGGGGCGGGTGTAGAATTAGTGGTTTAGTAAAGCAAGTATGGTACTCAACCAGGATTTCAACTTTTTTTTTTTTTTTTTTTTTTTGTGCGGGGTGAGGGGAGAACGAGCTTCCGCGTCTGCCAGCTGGCGCCTTGGTCTTCAAGAAGCGTTCTCTTGCAGGGTGGATTTTCTTGTATCTATTACCTAGTGGTGTAGGACTGAACAAATGTCTCTTACACCTAAAAACAGTTTGTTACAGAACTGCATTTATTTATATAGTAGTTAAACGGTTATGAATTTTGTAATGTCCTTTTAAGAAAATCTTATTAGCAAGGTAACTCAGTTTTATTAATGTAATTTATCTCTGAGCTTAAATACATTCCTTGGCAGGATAAATTCATACGGAATTGCATACAACCGTTAATAAAGCTGGCGATTTTTTATATTCAACCTTTCCAATCTGTTTTTGTAAATGTTGAAATATTGAACAAAACAATAGTTAATTTCACAAATCTCTGTTAAACACAGAAATTTTACAAAACTATTGAACTGTGTTTAGGGGTGGTGAAGAAAAGCTGGGCTTCTAGGAAATATGCTAAAATTGCATGGCAAATGAATCCCTAATTGTATAATAAACATCAAAAGCAAAGTTTCTGTAAAATGCCTTTTTGGTTTTTGCTGTTCCCATATTTTAATGTTACTCCTATTCTCTTATTATATGACAGATTTTTTTATTATGAGCAATGTCTTTGTGTTATTTTTGTATCTTAACAATATTGATCAGGTATTGTAATAGAGATTTTGATGATGAGAAGATCCTTATACAGCACCAAAAAGCAAAACATTTTAAATGCCATATATGTCATAAGAAATTGTACACAGGACCTGGCTTGGCTATACATTGCATGCAGGTAAGGATTTTTCTCCTGTACTTAATTTTTACTCCTTTGTAATTTGGGAAAAACATGGGAGGAATATCATGAATATTTCTTTGATAATTGTGGGGTTTTTGTTGTTGTTTATTGCAAAATATCAGGTAAGACAGCCAGTTAGCTTTAAAAAACAAATCTGTTCTTTAGCCATCAAGAAGATAAAAAATTGATTCTTATTTTTAAAGAGTTTGTATTTGTATTTCTCTTTAAATTATCTTTTATCCTATGTTAGATTGGTGACAGGTTGAGACCACAGGATTTATCTCCTCAGTACTTGAGTTAGAGAGCAAGGATCAATTATTCAAATTTGTGAGCAGTCTGACCAGTTCTAATCCCGTAAGAATGAGGACATAATTAGCTGCCATTATTCATAGCCATTGAAGGATTTGTTGTAATCTGTTGCCTGGGGCCAGATTTATTTTAACAGTTTATTCCAGGACCTCTTTCAGAGTGTAACATTGTTTCATTTAATAATTTTCTGGTTTCTTGGGTCCTTTTACTAATAGGTTGGGAGAGTTTTGTAATTTTTAAAGATCTCATAACTACTGTTACGTCTTATTCAACATGATTTCTTCTACTTTTTGCTGATTTTAGAGCTGCCTGAATTTTTGCCTAATTGGACCTTAGATGTGAGATGGGTAGATCTCTATTTATTGGAAAGTTAAAACAAGATGTTGGTTTCCCAGGTTTAAAAATAAGTTTATAGATTCTTTTCTTTCCAGTTACGTTACTACAACAATTTAACATCCATTCAAAAATATCTGAGAGCCTATGACAGACATGTTTAGGCAGTCACTAAGTTACATGTTGATTTAAAAGAAAAAATCACATTATAGCCACATTTCTGATGCTCAATAGCCACATGTGGCTGGTGAATGGCAATTGGATAGTACAAATACAGAACATAGATAACACTGAGTATACAGCAGCGAGTAAAACAGTCACCGTTGTGGAATTTAGATTTATATTGTGGAGGAAAATGACCTGCAAATATTGCATTTGTCTTATGGTGATAAATGATATGGAAAACTAAAACTAGACAGGGTGTAAAGGATGGCCACACAAGTTAGAAAAGGCTTGAATGAGAAACTGACATCTGCGCAGAGATCTGAAAGGAAGTGAGGAAGCTCTGCAAAGGAACTGCAAAGAAAGGCCCTTACATCAGGAGCATTCTCCTATATTGAAAGACAGGGAAAGGGCAACACTGTGCTATTTTATATTGGAGGGCTTGCAGGCCATTTTCATTATTTCTGAATGAAATGGGTTTAAATGTAACTTGCTCTGGTACACTTTTTAAAAGGCTCATTCTGGCTACTGGGTTGCAGTGAGACCACTTAGGAGACTGGAGTATTCCAGGCAGAAGATGGTGGTGACAGCCAGAATTTATTGGTGGCTTGGATGTGGAGAATGAAAGTGAGGAGTTAAGGGTGATCTGAAGGTTTTTGATCTGAGTAGTGTGAAGAATGAAGCTATCATACGGAGATGTGAAAGCCATGTGAAAGCCGCAGGAAGAGTAGGCTTAGGGATGATGACACCAAGATTGCTTTTATGTTAATTTTGAGTGTGGGTATGTTAGTTTTGAAAAGGTCTGTTGAATATCCAGGTGGAGATGCCACGTAAGAATTGGATCTACAAGTCTAGTTCAGAGGGATTGGAGGTGGAGATAGAAGTTTGGAAGGATACAGGATAAGGATGGCTATTTGAAGCCATGTCTTCCTTCTTAAGGAGCAGGATATAGGTAGGAAGAAGCTGTAAGTATGCCAGGACTCCATGTTGGGCCCCACCCTTCATTTAGAGGTCAGAAGTTTAAAAGAAACCAATCGTGGAGATTGAAAGGATAGGAATGCCAGGAGTGTAGTACCCGGAAGCCAAATGAAGTGGTTCAAGAAGTGAGTTATTTCACTGAGTCGAATGCTAAGGCTGGACTAAGATTGGATTAATCAAGTGGAGGTCATCAGTCACTTTCTGAGAGTGATTTCCTAGAGTGATGAGGATGAAAGCTTTATTGGGATGCTTTTCAAGAGAAAGTAGAGCTTATTCTTAGCTGGCCTGCCCAGGACTCCCCCACCCCCACCCCAGTGCCAACCCTAATCTCCCGAGCAGCCCCATTTCCTCTCCAGCAAGATGAAAAAGACTATGCGAACCTGGAGAAGCTCTCCAAACTGCAGGCACGAGGGGAGTGTGCAGAGTTGGGAAGAGGAACTGCTTGCAGAAAGAAGGTGGTTCACAGATAGCTACAGCAGATGATAAAGACTTCAGTTCTTAAAGAAGTTAGACTATTAAAGGGGTGAAGTTGTTCACAAATCAAGGAAGAGCAATCCGTTTTAACAGCCTGGAAGTTCGGGAATCTCTGACAGTGAATACTTTTCAGCATTACAGGCCATGCTGAGACAGAAAGCTGACAGAAATGCTACCCAACGTCTTAAACCAGCTTAGTGCAGTCTTCACTAGTTTAAAAGAGATTGACTAAAGCTCTGCCCAGTGTGTGGATGGAAAAGCACTGCTTACTACCAGAAAGGAGGATGATGAAGTTTTAGATCTTGAGGAGAATTTTGGTTAGGCTTCCAAGAAAGAAGCATGCTGAGTTGAGTCAACCTCTGAAGAAGATAAAACTTGAAGTTACTAGGAGCTCCTAAAGTTTTGTATTATGACTGCTTTTTCAGATTCTGTTCCCGTTTCTGGTAAAATCTAGATCACTAGTATTTTTCAGCCCAAGGCCCTTAGACACTGCAATTCTTTTCAGTTTTTGCTTATACACAAATTGTTCTTTGCCCAGTTTTAAAAAGGGGGGGGATAAAGTAGAGATACTCTTTCAAGGAGTTGTGGTACAGAGAAAAGCAGACAAATGGAGTGAAAGCTAGAAGGAGATTAGTTGAGAAACTATTAGTACCATCTTTAATTGACTAAGTGCTTCTGTTTATGTATAGTCCTACTGTAATTTCACGGCAACCTGGGAGATGGGCGTGTCAGTTAAATCAGACAAATCCTTGAATTTCATAGATAGTAAACCTAGGATCTTAGTAATTTAGACAGCTCACATCATCCTTGCTCCTATCTTTTTGAAGTAAACCTAGGATCTTAGTAATTTAGACGGCTCACATCATCCTTGCTCCTATCTTTTTGAGACCATACTAACATATATTAGGCAACATTCTAAGTAAATCATGTTATTTTTTTTCTCATTACAACCCCTTTTAATTAGTGTATTTATTCTTGCCCTTAACATTTAAAAATGTAATGAAGACTAGTTAATGTGTATGTGAACGTAATTTTATTTAAAGAACATGAGTTCATCTACATTTATCAAGAACAGTAACACATTCCAAAAAACTTAAAAAATGGTGATTAAGTCTCTTGTTACATAGTTTTACTCATGGTTGTTCAAGATTGATCAGAAATTAAGGTAATTTCTGAATTTGATTTGCATACCACTGTTTGAAGCCTTTCAGATACATCTCTAAGAAGAAAACACTTAGCTTTTTAAAAAATATATTTATTTATTTTTAGAGAGAAGAAAAGGGAGGGAGACAGAGAGGGAGAGAAACGTCAGGGTGTGGTTGTATCTCATGCGCCTCCTGCTGGGGACCTGGACTGCAACCCAGGCATGTGCCCTGATTGGGAATCTAACCAGTTACCCTTATTTTGCAGGCCAGTGCTCAATCTATTGAGCCACACCAGCTAGGGCTGCTTAGTTTTCTTTAATTTTTTTTCATGAAAGTGTCTTAGGAGGAAAGGAAACCTTAGCATTACTTGGACAAATAAACTCAAATCATTAGCTGAAATAGGTGGTTCTCAGGCTTGAGAGTGCATCAGAATCCCTTGGAGGGTTTGTTAAAACACAGAATTGCTGGCACCATCCAAGAATTTGTGATTGAGTTGGGCCCAGGTGGGGCCTGATAATTTGCATTTCTAAAAAGCTTCAGGGTGATGCTGTTAGGCTAAGCAAAATAGGGTGCTTTAATGTCCTTGAGCACTAAGTTAATGCCTTTTGCTGAAGAATACAGGAGCGACAGGAATTTTACCTTATTTGCAAAAGTTTTCCATGTTTGAGGGTTAGAAACTTAAAAAAAAATACTGATTTTTAGAGAGAAAGAGAGACAAACATTGATTTGTTGATCTCCTTATTTATACATTCACTGGTTGCTTCTTGTGTGTGCTGTGACCAAGGATCAAATCAGACACTTCGGCAAATCAGGATGATGTTCTAACCAACTAGGCTACCCAGGCCAGGGTGAAGGTTAGAAACTTCTGATCTAGAGAAAACTATACAGGGAAAACAAGTCCCTGGTTCGCAGTGTTTTACAATAAAAACTTCTTTTCCTCTTTGTGACCTTCCGAATAAAATCAGTTAGTGACAATAACTCATTAGGTATTGGTAATGCCAATGTTTCCGGGGTTTTTGGTGTTTGTTTGTTTTTTAAAGAGGGGAAAGGAGGGACATAGGGAGAGAAACATTGATCCAGTTGCCTCTCACATGTACCCCAACCAGGTGTGCCCACACGAGGAAGCAAACCCGCCACATTCTGGTTTATGGTACTGTGCTTCAGCCGAGCCATACTTGGTGGCCAGGGCGGTCATGCCAATTGTAAATCTCACCTTTGCAGTTTGTAACTACAGGTTTGTCTTGAGCAATTCTTGGGAAATTCACTTATTCTAAGTCAAAATATAATAAGACTGTTACATAAGCTTTACTTATTCAGACTTGAAATTTCTTTCATTTGAGTAGCTTTAATTATCAGCCTGAATTGCTGATAATTCAAGCAAGTAAGATTCTATGGTAAATTTGGAACCGTGGTTATTGATCCTGTACTGTGTGTTAACATCCAAGTGCTTTTTATATATATTACATTTAATCCTATAAATGATACTAAAAGATAGGTACTGTATGGATGGAGTCACCTGAGGCTTAGAGAGGTCAAATGATTTGCTCAGTCTCACATACTTGACAGCAAAACTGAAGATGAATTTAGATAGTCTCACTATAAAACCAGTCTCTCTTAACCATCATACTAAGTGTTCTTTGAGTAATTTGAAATTACTCTCTGAAAGACTTTTATGAAGCATTTTTGCCTATCTGATAGAGGTTTTCTTTTTTATAATGTTAGGTGCATAAAGAGACAATAGATGCTGTACCAAATGCAATACCTGGGAGAACAGACATAGAGCTGGAAATATACGGTATGGAAGGTATTCCAGAAAAAGACATGGATGAAAGAAGACGACTTCTTGAACAGAAAACACAGGGTAAATATGAAGATGTATGCTTTTTTTTAAATATTGCTTCACTAGTGAGAGTATTACTGCTTTCAAGAATAAATTTAATGGTAGATGTTAGGTTTTTCTCGGGAATTCATTTTTGAGTTCTGTTTTTCTTTTGTGTTTGAAGTTGTATGTTGATTTGTATATATGTAATACCATTTGGATCATTCCAGATATTTTCAATATTTTCATTCATTACTGGATTCCAAGTGGAGTAAACAAGTGTTGAGACCTTTGAAAATAAAGGTAGCTTGTTTTGATTTATGTAACCAATTGTAATTTTTTTTTAAAGGATTTAATTTATTTTTTGATAGGGGAAGGGAGGGAGGGAGAAAGAGAGGGAGAGAAGTATCAATATGTGGTTGCCTCTCATGCGCCTCCCGACTGGGGACCCAGCCTACAACCGAGGCATGTGCCCAGACTAGGAATTGAACCAATGACCTTTTGCTTTACGGTATAACACCAACCAACTGAGCTACACTTGTCAGGGCTGGAATTTGTTTGTTTTTCAGTGCATTACAGAGAGGTCAGACCTCTTTGTCAGTTTACCTTTTTTAAAATAAAACTGATTTAGGAGAATTATTTTTACCTTTCATAGACTAGGTAATAGGTTGAAAACACATTTGAGGAGTAAAGAGCAATGTTAACTGAAATAACTTCCGGAAGAAAAAAATTTCATGAGCTAACTGCACTGAGATAATTTTTTTAAATGTTGAATGTTTAAACTTGCTTAGGGCTCCCCACCTCCACCATTGGGAAGATTAATTAAAACTTTTTTAGCAGAAAGTCAAAAAAAGAAGCAACAAGATGATTCTGATGAATATGATGATGATGACTCTGCAGCATCAACTTCATTTCAGCCACAGCCTGTACAACCCCAACAAGGTTATATCCCTCCAATGGCACAGCCAGGACTACCACCAGTTCCGGGAGCACCAGGAATGCCTCCAGGTAGCATATAGGGTTTCTTACAATTTAACATTCTTAGGATTTTATTGATACAGTGTAGAAGCATTAAATTCTTCTCCTAACTCTTTAATATTAATTTGTGATTTTTTGTTGTTGTTACTGAAATTGTTTGTAGGCATACCTCCATTAATGCCAGGTGTTCCTCCTCTGATGCCAGGGATGCCACCAGTTATGCCAGGCATGCCACCGGGGTAAGAAAACTCCTTAAAATGGCTTGTGGAATTGTGCCTAGTAATGATCTTTCAACCTGTGTGTTATATGCATTAAATGTGACTGCATTTTTTTGTTCCTAAAAGGTATGGGCTCTACAAATAGTAAAATTGTCTTAATAAAGGAGTCCACCAATAAATTTAAGGAATCTGCAGTTGTCTTTTTAAGAGAATAGAATTTTGGGTTTTAAGATGTACGTAGGCAGCCAGCTGCTTCAATTGCATCTGATGTAATTAAAGTAGTTGGTTGTAGATTGGAGTTTCTGAGATTCAGAACTGTCCGTGACACTTTGTAGTTATGACAAGAAGCAAATTCTGTAAATGATTTGTTAAATCATCAAGAGCTAAAAAAAAATATGAGGTGCTTGTGCCCATCACTTTTAATTAAATGTTGTTGGATATGACAGGTAAACAATACACTTTCCCACTGTATTTTGAAAATCACAGTTAGATTTTGATTTTGTCATACATTTTCACAGATTGCATCATCAGAGAAAATACACCCAGTCATTTTGCGGTGAAAACATGTAAGCATCTCATTCATGATGTAATTCAGGAGGTATAAAATCATAATGTCATTTTCTTGTGTGTTTAATGATATCTATTCAGTTGGCTTCAGAAATTTTCTAACCTTCCTCACTAAAACTTCTCCAACTTGCAACCTGGTCGACACAGGTCTCTGAAAGAGGGAAATAAAACATCTTTGAGGAAATAGTAGTAAATCCATATATAAATAAAGCATTTTCTAAATGTGTAGCTATTTTCTCCTAAATGCTAAAAGTGATAGGACCTAGTGAAAAGGGTTGGTACTTTAGAAAGAATATATAATCTTTGCCAAATTACATGCTTTATTATTATAGAAGGTAATGGAAGTTTTCTAATAAAATCAATATAGAAGCTAATCTTCTGACAAAAGTCTAAATCAAGAATTCACAAACTTGTAATTTTTTAAGTGCATTGGACATTGGTATTTGAAGATGGGCTCTTTTAGGGGAAGGAAAATAAATACAGGTTGTATTTTAAGTCATGGTTTAGTGTTAGATAATCTTAAGTAAAAATTAGGCAGTCTTGAGTTTATTTTTGACTATCTTTAATATTGGTGGTAGTTTTTCTGTGCTTCTCCAAAAATTCACAATGTACTTCAAAATACTGACTGTATATTCAGTATTTTCCTTTTGAAAAATCTGACGACTTTAAAATAGTGATTTCTTCTTTTTTATTTATATTCTGTGTGGATCTTTTCCAAATGAGACAGAAAGTGATTTTGCTTCCCAATTGCACGTATCTTAGATGAGGCCTCTTGTATATGTTGAGAATATAATATTAGTGTATAATAATATTCCTAATGACTTTAAATGTATTAAAATATTTTGTCGACAAACATTGAATACCCCCAGCCCCCATCTTGCTGGTAAACCCAAGAGTTTGCTGGTTGTTAGAGGATTTATTTTGATATGATTGATTTAGTGTGTCATGTATTCTTACAACTTGATTTCAATATTAGGGGTCAAATTCAAGTCTTATTTATTGTTTTGGGATTTAGCCAAAATATTTTCTGTGGTTTATACTATTAATTAACTTTAGTTGTTTCTTGAAATTTGCTTTCTAATAGAATGATGCCAATGGGTGGAATGATGCCACCTGGACCAGGAATACCACCTCTGATGCCTGGAATGCCACCAGGTATGAAATACTAGGATTTTTTCCTTTTTTAAAAAATTTTCATAGAGTAAAAGTAGGCTTCAAAGCAGCCAAAATGAGTCACAGAACCCGTGCGCTGAAGCTCATTTACTTGAATGGCCATAATTTGATAGAAATATTTTAGATGAGTAATAAGAGACATTTAGCAAGTAATAGAGAATTCAAACAAACTATTAGACAATGTAGACATTTTTTATCTCATTCAACAAAAAGGGAAGTGGTAAATTCAACAGCTTGGCATATCAGGAACTCATGCTTTTACAGTTTTCTACTTTGTTAACCTTAGCTTTTTTCCTTCAAGCTTATCACTCAGTGGTAACAAAGATGACTCAGGCAAGAAAGGGTGTCAACAGCAATGTTCGTGTTCTCTCTCTCTCTCTCTCTCTCTCTCTCTCTCTCTCTCTCTCTTTTATTAGAGAGCAAAGTAACTTTTGCAGAAGCTCCTTAGCCTTTTAATGTATCATTGGCCAGAAATAGCTTTAACTGACCTTCTAGCTCAAGGCAGTGTTGGAAATGAAGTATGTTGACTTTTTAGACTATGACGTGGGGAAGGGGATTTGGTTAACCAAGCAAGTGTGCCATGGAGCCATTTAAGATCTCAGTTGGTTGCCTTGCTTTTCAAAACTATACTTAATCCTGGCAAGTTTGAGTTGTAATCAGTAGAAGGTTTGGAAGTACTCAAGTGATAGTTGATATAAAAGGAATCCGAAAAGTAAAGCAGCAGCAAAATTGTAATCATTGCCCACGTAGCCATTAATTTCTAGTCAACAGCTCCACGCACATAATGCTCAGAGATAATTTGGGGCATTTAAAGCGATAGAGAAAGAATAGTAACCAATATTCATTTGATAATGTGCAGTGAAAGTTTAAGTTATATTGAGGAAGCTTAAAGAATGCACTAGTAATACATTTTAGGAAAATTTAAAGTGTTTAAAGGGATAACTTAGTTTTCCAGAAATTTTATGGGTCTACAACTTAGCAAGTTTTTACTGTAGTTTGCATTAGAGTTCAGGGAACATCTATTGGATAATTGATGTAATTCTCTTTATTTGTCTTCAAAAGGTTTGCTGAATCATTAATATCAGTTAGGCTTAATTGTTGCTTTTCCCACAAACAGGGTCTCTAGTGATACCTTTCACTTCCCAAAATTCTGAACAAATAAAAAGGGATAGAAAATTACAGGCACGATAGTTCTAAAGGGCGCACACCTAAGTTCTTTGAATTTCAATGAGTTCAGAAGTCAAGTTATTAGTAACTTTATAGTACGGAAGCATGCAGTAAGGAATATGGCATATCGCAACTGCAAAGTTTTGGGGAAATACTTTTTTCTGAACTAAATGCGTCAGCAACCGGATCCCCTTCACAACATTTTTTCTTTACAGGTATGCCCCCTCCTGTTCCACGTCCTGGAATTCCTCCAATGACTCAAGCACAGGCTGTTTCAGCACCAGGTATTCTTAATAGACCACCTGCACCAGCAGCAGCAGTGCCTGCTCCACAGCCTCCAGTTACTAAGCCTCTTTTCCCCAGTGCTGGACAGGTAAGTTCAAATTCCTGGGAAGGAGTGTACTTACATTTAAAGGTAAAATGCAATTGTTTACAGAAATCCTTGAAAATTGTCACAGGTGAATTTTTGGTTTACAATTTTAGTATAATTTATTTAGCATAGTAAGAAGTGGCCTATTCCATGTTTGCATACATTGATTTTCTCTACTTATAAAAGATCGACTGGAGCCAGAGATAGTGTAGTATGTTATTTTTTCATTGCTTTAAACTCTGGTTATTCTAGCTTTAGTTAAACATGAAAGTTTAATTTCTGGGGACTTAAAAATGTTATGTTTAGTGGTCCTCCTTTACCTATTGAACTATGAGTGGAATTAAAGCCAAAGGTGAAAATTCTAAGACCTGAGCAAACCATTTGTTGGGCTCTTCTAGTCTAGAGCATTGACAAACTACAGTGCTGCACACATGCTGGAAGAGTGTCATTTAATTGCTTTTGACCTAGTCATACTTAATTTCTTACTGATTTTGTTTCCAGAACTCGAGTGAAAGATGTTCCTGTTATATATAGTATGTGTATAGTGGTTGTTACTTCTTTTTTTTCCATTTTCATTCAGAATTAAGCAAATGTATTTCAGAATTTAGAAGGTCAGGATGTATGTTCTTTCTTTAAAATCCCTTAGATGTTTCTTTTTTCCAATTGTTTTTTCTGTTTGTAGTTGCTAAATTAAAAGCATTGCATTTAAGTGTCCTTTAAGCACATTAACTTATGCTTCTCAGGTCGGTGGGGATTTTGTTTATTGAGAGATGTTAAACTTTTAACAAAAATCTATTGTGGTGTTGATAGAGAATTGGATTAAAATGTTGTTAATCTTTGCTCTCAGTTGAAGGTATCATTTTTGAAATAATCACATTGCAAAACAGTTTTAGAAAAGAAAGTGGTTAGCTAGGTTTATTGGTATAGAATTAATTTTTTGAGGCTCATATTGTCACTTGTTTATTGTAAATGCATTAACTGCCTGTCTCATTAAATAAATCAGATTTGATTGCATTATATTTTGCATTTACAAATATGCAATCTATACCAAAAAAAGTCTACCACATGGCTTGTTTTCACCCATTTGTTTGGAGACTTTTCATTGTTTCCTTTCTTTTATGCTACAGATGGGGACACCTGTAACAAGCTCAAGTACAGCTTCATCCAATTCAGAAAGTCTGTCTGCATCTTCTAAAGCTCTGTTTCCTAGCACAGCACAAGTACGCAGGAAGTTGCAGTTTAAAGTTGTTAAAATGGCTTTATAACTTAACCCTTTGGACCCTATTTTAAAACTAAATCTTTTCCCAAAAATATACTATTTAATTTTTTTAAAGTAAGATGAATGGTATATAAATCAATGGTATTTGAAAAATTGAATTGAGAAAAAAAAAATGTACCCCAAACTTCTATGGTTCTAAAGGGTTAAAAGCATGTAAGCAGTAAATGCCTTATAGTAGCCAATGATTAGCCTGATGCATGATTAAGCTAATTCGATTCAAGCTGTTTAATCTAATGCATCACATATAATGTAAGGAAATTCAGTACTTTGCATTTGGTTCTAAAGTTGTCCTAGTTTACATGTTTTAGATGTATGGTATTACAAAAAGTAACACATTAATTACTGGTAATTTTATACTTGAAAGGTCCTTCTAAACTCTTATGACCATGATAATCAACCAGCCATTGTTAATTGGGAGGGCATTATATTACTTACATAAAAACATCTCTGAAAGACATATTTAATGTGTCACCATTGATATTAATTATGTTATGCTAAGTAACTGAAATTTATCCAAACATTTGTATTTTGTAATTTCTAATTTTTTTTTGTTTTCTTTTTTGTTTTGAGCTACTTGGTAGATTAATTAAACAACTAATTTAGAATAGTAAAAATAGAACATTTGCTATTCCATTATATAATACCAATCTGGAATCAACCTGAAATAAATAGCTCTGTGTATTAAAGACCTTGGTAAGGAAGTAGATGACGTCTGAGAAGTTAAATATGCAGTCTTTTTTGTTGTTCTGATGCTGTGTTTTGGGTATGACTGTGACCCAGCACTTTTTGATATTTTTATGTGTTATCTTGAATTTTGTGGAGCATTTATCATGTTAACTTTGTTTTATTTTCATTTAAGTTTAGTCCTTTATTGAATGTTCATGTCTTGCTTTTAAATTGGTAGTAGATATACTCGGTTTGGGGTTTTGTTGATGAAAGATTGTGTTTTACAGGCTCAGGCAGCTGTCCAAGGACCTGTTGGTACAGATTTCAAGCCCTTAAATAGTACCCCTGCAACAACTACCGAACCCCCGAAGCCTACATTTCCTGCTTATACACAGTCTACAGCTTCAACCACTAGTACAACAAATAGCACTGCAGCTAAACCAGCGGCTTCAATAACAAGTAAGCCCGCTACTCTTACAACAACCAGTGCAACCAGTAAGTTGATCCATCCTGATGAGGATATATCACTGGTAAGTTGTTTACAGTTTTTTACTAGCAGAGTTTGGTTGAAAATACTTGTAGCAGCTTGTCCATTTGAAAAGTGTTAACTTGTGTGCTGATAGTCTTAACTGATATGACTTAATAATTATTAAGTGGTTTTTACCATTTTGAGTTTTAAGAACCACAAAATAAAGTGAATAATGCATATTTTGGTCTGAGATACATCTCCTCCTACCACACTATTTCTAAAAAGATGACAGTAGTTGGGTTTGTTCTTTCAAAAATCATTTTAGTTAGACATAGATTTGTAAATTAATTGAAGAAACAGTGAAGTGTTCAGTAGAAACTGCATATCTCTTTAAGCCCTTTAAGCCCAAGAAAGCATCTTCTTTACTAGATGCTTTCTTGCTGAAACAATTTGTAAATTCTAACGTTACGTGTTTTAAGTATAAAAATGAGGTTTTCTTAAGGTATTGAGATTTTTTTTTTTAAGGTTTTATTTACTAGTTTTTAGAGAAGGGGAAGGGTAGGGAAAGAAAGGAAGAGAAACATTGATGAGTTGCCTCTCACATGCCCCTGGCTCGAGACTTGGCTTGCAGCCCAGGCGTGTGCTCTGATGGGGAGTTGAACAGGCTACCTTTTGGTGTTGCGGGATGAAGCTCAACCTAGTGAGCCACTCTAGTCAGGGTAAAACGTTGAGATTTTAACTAGTTGAACTGGTTTGTGGGGCAAAAGTAATTGGTGGGGAAGTAAAGATACATTTCTTAAAAAATGTTTATAAATAACATTTTCGATGTTTGCTTTTATGCTTAATGAATCTCTGCATTCAGGTGTTTTAACATCATGCTTGCTTTTATTCCTAGGAGGAGAGAAGGGCGCAGTTACCTAAATATCAACGTAATCTTCCTCGTCCAGGACAGGCTCCCATTGGTAATCCACCAGTTGGGCCAATTGGAGGTATGATGCCACCACAGCCAGGCATCCCACAGCAACAAGGAATGAGACCCCCAATGCCGCCTCATGGTATTCCTCTTTTTGCGTTTATTGTTCTTAGTGGGTTTTTTGAGTATACACATATAATAAATTTATCTGCAAAATACATTGCATTTAAAAGTACAAGGCACAGACCAACTCAATCTATTTTTTTGTGTTTTAAATGTGTTTTTTAGGTCAGTATGGTGGTCATCATCAAGGCATGCCAGGTTACCTTCCTGGAGCTATGCCACCATATGGGCAGGGACCGCCAATGGTGCCCCCTTACCAAGGTGGGCCTCCTCGACCTCCGATGGGAATGAGACCTCCTGTAATGTCGCAAGGTGGCCGTTACTGATCTCACTTCATCCAGTCTAATAGGTTTGGAGATTAAACCTTTTCTCAACTTGTGCTGTTTATATAGCCAAGCTTCCGTCAATAAGGCTTCATTGTGACTTTAACAAACATTATCTTCCCACATACCAGGAACTATTGGACATTTATTTTACATGGGAAAAAATTATTTGGAATAATAAAACAGGAACTTTTCCTGAAGTTGCAATTTATACTGTATGGCTTCTTTTTCATGTTTCATCTAGGTTTTTAGAAGTGAAGTATAGTAAATTTGGTTCGTTATATTGTGAAGGCGCTGGAATTACATGAACATACCACCTTAATAAAGGCAAGTTCTGTGAGCTTACATTGCTATTGTAAAGTTATGCCTTCACAGCATTTCAGATGCTGTTGGACTTCACGTCCCCAACCTAGCTTGGTGAGGGCTGTAACTATTTCCAAGTACCTGTACATTGGAAGTCTGAATGTGTAACAATATTTAATGTATTTAGAGTTCCTCATGTTGCAGGGTTTATGAAATCTGACCCACCAAGGTCATGTGACTTTTCTGTACTGTTAAACTTCATTGTAATAAAATGAGAGAAAAATTTATGCCTTTTTATTCATAACCCAGCTGTGGACCACTGCCTGAAAGGTTTGTACAGATGCATGCCACATTAGGTGTCCACATAATAAAATTCATAGTTACCAATGCAGTCTTGATATATCATTGGATTCTGTCTTTGAATTATAGGTTGTTCCTTAGCTGCATGTTTTAAATTGGACAGTATATATAGAATTGTATGTTAGTGCTTTCGTTAACAAAAACTTAGATAACGTATGAATCATTACATGACAGATATGAAATCTTTATATATATATTGTATCACCTTTTTATCCTCTTGGTGTCAATACTTGTTAGATGTCATAGATATTTAAAATGTAATCTTTAATATTTCCTCCTTCCTGCTGATGACATTTAGAGCCTAGTGCCAGACCATTCATTTCCTTCTGATTGTTTTTGATACTGTAGTACTATGTGGACCTCAGAAGCTTTTCAGGTGCAAACTTCTAGAAGCTTAGGTGCAAGCAGTAATAGCTTTTTATGCTGTTAATGGATTGGTATATATTCTAAGTGTAATGCCAAGAATCTAAATGTGCCCCTTTTAGGATGGTTAACAGGTGGAGATTTGAACATTTTTATTACAGTCTTGCAAGAAGATTGCCTTATATCTTTGATTAGATGGCTACCTTTTGTTACTAAGCCTAAATGGCTTTACTGTTAACCTTTTCATCCTTGGAAATTTTAATGTTACTGTTTTCTGATGGAAAGCTTTTCTGTAGAGGTGACTGCTATTTAGTATTTTGTGTTGCAAGTTGCATAAGAGCTCCTGTTGAGCTCTTTTTGGCATCTTTTTTTTTTTAATCTTGCACAGGATAGATTTATGCTTAAGTATCAAATTACCTATACAAAGTATAGTAATTTAAGGACCTTTATGTTGAGTTTTCCCTCAATATAAAGTTAAGACTTATAAGAAAATGGTAACATTTCTTTTTAGCCATTTTGTGAAGGTATAGATAAAAGACATGAAATCTGAAGTTTTCCTTTTAAAAAAGCCTTGTAGGAAAACACTGAAAAATGTCTTAATCATCATAAATGGGTCTTTGTATATAAATGACAAGTGAAAGTCATTTATTTAAACATTGCAACTATTAGAGTTGGTTTTATAACTCCTTTGCTATGGCACCATTGAGGTTCAAAAAATTCTGTAGTTTGAAAAGGCAACATCCAGGTATCAACAAGAATGCATTTCATCCTCCTCCAAGCAGCCAAGCCTTGTAGCCCCTGCCCCCCTCCGCCACCACCAAAGCCTGCTTACTCAAGTATTGGAATTTGGCAGCATATTTACACAGCCAAAGAAAAACATGTTGAAAATCTTTGAGGCAAAAGTGGCATGACGTTTCAAAAATTATGTAAATCTTTATTTGCATTAATGCAAAGAGGGCTGATAGTTTTTGTCAACATTTACTGCTTTTTGAAGTCTGATAAGCGAAAATATTACCACTTTTAAGTAAGTGGTAGAATTATCATTAAAAGTGAGTTCAAACTGTTTTACATGGCATTTTAAAAACAAGTATACCAACTCTTTAAGTGCTGTAGGTGTATGGCTTAGGTGGTGCTCATTTGATGTATCCAAGGTGTAATGTGTGCATGCATCAGAGCATAATTAAGCTTCTAGAAAATACCTTTTACCTAATTGCTTCTGGGGTCCATAGTGTGGTTAAATCAATTGTGAGTGGAACAAATTAAGCTGAAGTAATTAACTCTTATTTTGACACATTCTTCCTTAAATAATAGAGTTGACCAAAGTAAACCTTACCTGCCCTCACAGATGACAGCTTTCAGGATTTGATGTTTTCACGCAGGCATTGCGATTGCCATAATTTAGGAAGTTGCAAGATGAATGAGGCCGCTAACTTTGGCTCTGCCATGTATCTACTCTTAATCACCTTTCTTCTTTCATTTAAAAAGTGACTTAAACATTTGTCTGGCACTAGTTTCTATTGTATAGATTTTACTACTATATGACAGTAACAAGGCCAGCAGGTGAGGAACAACTTTGTGGAGTGGCTGGTGGAATTATCATTTCATTTGGATATTTAATATTTTGGTAATATCTCACACATATACTGTTAGGAATGGGGAAGATACTATTAGTGTGCTTCTATTCCACTGATCAAGTTACATATTGAACTTAAACTCAACTTAAACAAACAGGTACTTGGGGGGAGATCCCAACAAAAATAATGATGGTTTCAGAGTAGAATTACAGTGGACAATAGTTTTTTTTGGGTTTTTTGTTTTTGTTTTTTGTTTTTTTAAGAGCTACTTTTTTCCTTTGCTTGCTTGATCATTGGGATTTTTTTTAAATGCATGTCTTTTAAATTAATTGGGTAATGTTTTTCTAAAATTAAAATTTTCTTCTTCCTATAGCCCTGCCATAGGACAGGCTGAGGCTGAGTCTCAGTGTTGCCCTGTTCAGTCTGAGGCAAGTGGGATTTATTTTATTCCTTATAGGGGCTTTCACAGCTTGATGGCTGTTGGATATTTATGTCCCCAAACTTGCAGCAAGTTTGGTGAAGGCCCCTAAATTTAATTAAACGTAGGATTTTTATACTATTTTGGCAGAGAAGGCTCTATATTAATATTCTTGTTTGACTGTGGTGTTAATAAACAAGAAGCATTTACTATATGTAATTTACTTTGTGTCATATAATATTTAACAGCCTCAGTAGAGCTGGTCTTGCTATATTGCAGTTTAGTATATTGACAAAATTTGACGTTCTTGATTTGGAGGCATGAAATGTTGCAGTCAAATTTTCCACTTTTCATTTTTAGGAAAATCTTACTGGTTATTTGTTCTTCAAAGTATTAAATTTAACCTCAAGTAATACTGGAAATGCTCCTGGACACTGAAATATGCATACTTAATTCTGAAGTTATGCATTGAACATTATAATAGGTTGAAAGGTATCTGGAAATGCTTGTGATTTTTAATATCTTTTCAAACCTCACCACATTAGAGCAAATGTTAATGTAGAGCCCTGTGAAAAGGGGGAAGGTGGTCTGTGTGTGGTATGTATGCGTATACACTACACATTTGAGATAATGGAAAGAGTTTGGATATTACAGACCTGTCAGTATGGATAGGTTACTAATTTTCAGGGAGCCAAACAAAAATCGTGTTAAGTGCTAAAGTTTGTATATTGAACTGTGGTTTTAAAACAACTATTTTGAGGTTCATTTTCAGCCTTAGTGAACAATGTTTTACACAATCTGCATATATGAGAAGTATCGACGTTTGTTTCCAACTAAAGTTTGCTTTTATTTGGTGAGAAAAGATATGCTTATGTTTGCATGTTGTTAGGGGGTAAAGAGGGAATTGGAAGAAAGGCCAAAACATAAACCTGGATTTTGTTCCTTCCTGTGTTTTAACCACCATTTTATCCAGATAGAATTTTCCTCTGACCAGTAACAATTAAGATACAGTACAACGTCTAGCAAACCTGAGATTGTGTTTCTCTGTCATTTTAATTTTTGAAAGCATAAAGAAAAAATACACATTAAATGAATTCTAAATTTTCACCTGTTTAACTTCTACATGCTTTTCTCTGTAAGCAAATCATGGGAAAAAGGATTTTAATGTTTGAAAAAAGAACTTTGTCACAAAAATATTCCTTTGGAATATTTTATAACCTTAATAATTATACCGTTAAGACTCCTTATTTGGAGTTGTTTTCTGTTGCACCATCTCCCAATATTTAACAGTGAAGCTGCTTGTTATAATTCTAAAAGTGATAATGGAAATACTCATAATTGAAATAAACTCTTACATGCTTGTACTAGGGGTGAGAGGGATTTTCTAAGGTGGCATAATTTGCTGAAGATGATACTTAAAATGTAGTTTCTTTGTTATCTCTAGTTCTGTGACTCAGACAAATAAGATTTTAGCATAATGTAACTTTCAAGTATTATATCCACTGGTAAAACTTCGTAAATGAAAGGAAATGTCGAAGTCACCTCTTTACTGAGATAAAATATATACTTGTGTTGGTTAGGAGATTTAAAAAACTAAACACGTACCCTAAAATTTTGTATAAATCAGTCATGCCTCTTTTAGAAGGTGATATTGAATAACCTTTGTATGTTTTTTCCAAAATGAAACTAGTTTTCGCTCACTGCGACTTATAGAAAAGTCTTCTAAAACAAGGGAAGGGTTCAGTTCTAAGACAAATGACTATAAAGCAGATTTTTGTAAGTAAACATTCCCCTAATTATATTTCTGCCTGCTATCTCATGACTTGAATATTAGTGAAGGTTATATACTGCTATTTTTTTTCCTTTCTTAGTATGTTGTCATCGGAATCATTTTAATAACCTTTTGTTTTTCTAGCATAGAAACCATCTAATTTTCTGTGTGGTATTTCTTGGCAAATAAGCAGTTATTTTAATAATCTATACAGGGTCATGAAAATGATGATATGAACAATTTTGTAATGTTGAATTTTCAGAACTCTACTTTTAATATCTTGGCTCTTAGGTATCCCCCATTATGAACCTAATTCAAAGTAATGCATAGGATACAGGGAAAGCAGGACTAATATTTTAAATATCTTAAACTTTTCCAAGTGTTTTCATGTTCTTGGCATTTTTCAGAGGAAATAATAGGTTTGAACATAGCTTTTTTAAAGGTAGATTTCTTTAGTAAGGCTCAGAAGAGAAATAATTGCTTTTTATTAGCATTGTTTTTCTTCCCTGGGCTCCCTCCATTCTTGCATAATTTAGCCATAAAAGGAAGAGCTTTTCATTTTCCCAGCTCTGGAAAAAGAATAGTTTGAAACTGTAAGTTTCATTTTTGAACCATCCCTCTTTAAATCTGTTCAATTAATGTAATGTATCCTCTGAGGGAGATATCTTTATTTTACTAAGCAAGGTGTAAAAGTCACATTAAGGCAGAAATTGGAGACCCACAGGATATCTTCACTGAAACTAATTTGAATTATTTCTATTTGGAGCAAAGGATATTCTAAACCAAGACTGGTTTATGTTAGGTTCTGTAGGAGGCATCTAATCAGCTATATTTTAAGAGTGTGTTTGTGTATATGTTTTATTTTGATGAAATAAAACTTCAGAGAAGATACATGTGAGTAAACAATGATAGATTTTTTGGACCCCACCCATTAGTCTAAGTGCTGTAATGATGGGTAAAATGGTGATATGGTGCAGCTTCAATAATGTGCTGTGTATTTGGTCAGGGGCTTGTGTACTGCTGTGTTGGTGAAGAGGGGGGGAGTCCTTTATTGGAATCCTGCAAGCCCTTTGAGCATTCTTATGTGTCTGGGTTTTTTTAAGGGATCTACATGCCTTCACGTTCAGTTAATTTTGACGAACTGGCAGTGAAATTCATTGATGCCCATCTTTGATAAAAATGAAGAATAATGTATCCTCAGTGTAGTACATACAGACCAACACTGATTATTTGGGGAAGAGGCCCTTGTTTTGTTAGACATGACTTTAAATATAACAAAAGGTAACAGCGTTCTTGCACTTGGTTTGCATTTGTTACTAAGTGCACCAAATCATTTGTTATGATGTAGCTTATTCTCAGTATTTATAAATAGTTGTCAGAATGAAAATAAGATTTGCAGCATCATTTCCCAGTCTCTACTAATAATAAAACAAGGCTGCTTAACTACTCAAGTGATCCAACAGAAGAGCCAATAAAGCTCTGTAAGTTTGATTTAGAAATAGATGGGGCCTGTAGCTATTAAGCAGTGCCTCCCTTTTATCTATTAGTTTGTTTCTATGTACTTCCAGGAGAAGCAATAGAATTTACTTTCAGCCCATGTTTTTGTAATTTAAAATCTCTAACACAAGAGAAATGAAAGTTTTTGAAAATTGAGTTAAAAACTACTGAAAATTGTGGGGTGTGTCTACATATACTTAAATTTAGAATTGATCACATTGAAGAGATTTTTTTCGTACATATGTGTCCCCCCTGTTTAGAGTAAGAAAACTTTGCACATAATGCACATTGGAATACATAGTTTTATTAAAATTGAGCTGTGTCCAAGAGATATGCAGTGTTATTAACTCATTTTCTTAAGGTTATTCTAAATTTGATAGCCAATGTAAGGTAATTTTTGTAAGGCATAGGGAAATTTTTAAAAATGTATTAATGTCAGACTCTGAGGAAATTTAATGCACATTGACTTTTTAAAGTATGGATTGAACTCCTCAGTTTAATACAATTTGTGTTTTTGTTAACTAGCAGCAGAATTTCAGCATTTGCTACTTACTGGTAGAGAAGAAAAATCCCACAGCCCTGCCAGTACAGGTTAGTTTAATCTGTAAGTACCTGATGTTCCTATTTTTTTCAAACATATCCATATAACCCACACAAGGAAGAAAGGGCAGTTGCTTAAATGTGAGTATAACAGTAGTTCCATTGGACACTTTCAGACACTCAGTACTTGGTCCAATTAGTTCTAGGTTTGCTAGCTGTCTCTATTATTTGGTTGTGGTTGAGCTTAAAGAGCTCTATTGTACATAAAAGAAAAAGACAGTGAAAGTTTCTATTGGCTATATACTCAGTTTGGTATGTCGTAAGCAGTGCAGGGCTTTGGGTCCAGCGTCTTTTATTTAAGCTAGTTCTGTAGTGGTATTTACTTACCTTTTGACTTTTTACAGTATGAATCAACCAAAAAAAAGTCAAGTTTTCTCATCTCTAGCAATGACAAATGGTATTTGTTGTTGTTCGTAAGTGTTTCTAGTAGTTTGGTGTAAGTACTAATTTAGTTCATCTTTGGTACACTATAACCTGTTCTGTTGGGTTCATTTTACTTTGAGCCAAGAATAACAAGCCTTACTTTTCAATATTCAAATGAAAGGTGACTACCCATCAAGAAATCTAGACAGATTCTTCATGTATTTCTTTGGAGGGGCAGCGGGGATGTGATGGATTGTAAAAGATGTTAAAGTTTTTGTTACTTTCATTGATTCTAGCAGAATTCATTGTTGTCTTGAACCATCCATGAGAAATTTCCTTGAACCTTGAAATATTGTACTCTTACGTTGATAAGAATTTAAAATACTGAGGAGAAGAATAAAGCATAATTTAGTTTATAAAAGCCTGAACCATCCTTTCAGTCTGTATCATTGACTAGGATGCATGGCTTCCTCCTTTACACCCCAGAGTAATGATGTCTTCTTTGAGTGAGACAGTCTGTCCATAAAAGCACTCCTGTTAAACTGGGATGGTGATGAGGCACCAAAACACATTATCTTAATGTAATTTTATACAGAAGTCATGCATTCAGTTAAATTTTTTAAAAATGTCAACTGATGAAAAAGACATTTCATAAAATATCCACTTGGTTGTTAATATAAAATTGCCTAAGGGCTTAAGTTTCATTGCCTTTCACAGTAAATACAGTGGAAATGGTTTTCCTTAAAACCATCTCTTTAAAGCTGCCTTTCTGGTGAGTACTATTTTATACTTTTGTATATCACAGTTTCCTTTTAAATTTAACTGAAAAGAGTACACTTTCATCACTTTCATCAAAGAGTGAGCAATTTGAATTTCTGAACTCTTCAGATATTACCTGAATTGGAAACACTAAGAATAAAGTGATTATATTACCTCCTGACATTTCCATAGTAATCTGGGCTCACTTTTTTCTGACCTTCATGTAACAGACTATATAAGTACAAAACTTTCTAACATAAATGATTATTTTTTTAGTGAAATGGGGTGGGGGGAGTTTTTACTCAAAGCTATCTAGCATTTATTATTTTAAGCTTAAGATTTTCTTTTTAGATGACATCGAAAATATTTTTCTCTATGCTTTTGGCTCCCACATTGCATAGGTGTAAAATTTAAATACCAGAATTCCTGTCCTTGTTGAAGCTGTTGTTGCAGTGATTTGTGAGCAGTTAAGCTGAGGGTAAGGTTGGAGAAGGGCTGGCCTAAAATATGGTAATGTAGGCTAATTGATTCTTTTTGACTCAGGCTTGAAAATTTCCCGTGTATTCTTAAATGACTAACCTGCATGAAAAACTTGAGTTAGAAATACTGGTTTTTGGGGCTGTGTATGTCAGTGAAAATCAGCCTCTGAGTATATTTTTAGTTAATTTATCTTCCCCTCTTAGTCTTTAGCCACGTCCTAGCTAAAGTCAGTATACACTAAGGATGTTTTCACATTGTATCTTCCACTGATATTTGTAAACGAATAATGAACAGTCAACTCTTTTTTTAGTATGACCGATGATAGTTTTCTACAATCCGAAAATTGATATCTATGTGATAATGGTAATGTATTCTCCCAGATAAGTACTAAATAAAATATGGACACTTAATTTATGTCTTTAAGATTTAAAGTCAAGTAAATTTCTAAGGAACTCTGTCCTTTCCTAGCAAGGATAAACAGACATTGAAAATTTGGTAAGTATTTAACTTTAAATGCATGTGGTAGTGATGAGAGTGAATAGACAAATTTCCATAGTTTAAGATAATATTTAGGCATGAACAAGAATTCTTGAATCTCCTTTGCGACCTAATGTTTGTGTGTCTAGCTAGCAGTTTTATAAACTTGTGTGCACAATGATTAAATTGAAATGTACCTTACTCCTTTGTCTGGCTTGTTTTCTTTTTCATTTGTATGGTACTTTAAATACTAATTTTATATTTCAAGCTTTTTTCAGGGTAAAAATAAGTGGCTGGTAAAGAAAATATCTTCAAGAAGAATTATTTAAATGTCCCTATTTAAAAACCCAATGATGACTTTCAATTTATTTACACCTTCTCTTTTCCAGCTCCAGTTAAAAGTGACAATAGGCAGCTGAACAAAAAAATGGTGGCTGGGGAAGGGGGATCTTTGTGCTGTTTTTGGAATATTTGTAGGGATCATCGTATTACAGTCAAATGTTAATCCATTGCTTGATTTTCATGGAAACTGCTTTTTGAATTAAGAGGGAAAAGGTGGTGAGATTTGAATTTTCTTCCTCCTTGGTACATTGTTATTAGTAAGAGGGTAGTGTATGGAAATTAAAGTGAAAACATTTATTATCTGTACCAGGGAAGGCAACTTATTTCTTAGTGTGTTCCTTTCTTTCCAAAGTAGTATATAGCATTATTTTGTGACGTGGTACAAGATCCCAAAGGGTTGTAGGAAAGAGGCGGGGGGCCGTTCCCTCAGTTTAGTCTCCAGGCTTTACTCCAGCAATGTACTGGTAAGGTAGGAAATGGGGAGCAAGTCATACAGGGGATGTGATGATAAAGACTGAACAAAACAAACAAGGGAGAGGATAAATGGCTGGACCACATATGATTAAATGGTCTAACGAAACAAAAAAATGTGAATAGTGATATGATTTTTAATGTAAGTAAATGAACTCACTAATAAAGGTTGTTAAATGTAATTAACATTACATTTGTGGTTAAATGTAATTAACATTACAAATGTAATTAAATATTAGCCTAAAAATTAACGTTAAGCCCTGGCCAGATAGCTCAGTTCATTAAGAGACGTTAGAGCGACATCCTGATGCACTGAAGTTGCCAACGGTTTCGATCCCCAACCAGGGCACATACAAGAATCAACCAATAAGTAAATGGAATAAGTAAGTGGAACAACAAATCAATGTTTCTCTTCCTCCTTCCCTCTCTAAAATCAATAAAAAATTTTAAATTAACATTAAAACTCTGGCAATTAATAAATTGCATTTTGTGGGGGGTTAATTTTTTTCCACAAATAGTAGTTAGTGCATTTTGACATTCTGATGTATCACCTGGAAGCTAACGCAAGGGAAAAATGAAATGGATGATCACATCTGTGGTATTTACCTATGTTGTATTTTAGTCCACTGGTGGGGTTTGGGCGTAATACATGTTCCTTAGTGTACAGAACTATGTAAATAGTTAGACTAGAACTCGCAAAATGCACTGCAGTTTTTTGTTTCTCTTTTGAGGTGGTTTAGAGGTGTTTGCTGGGCTTTGAGAAAACCAAAATTACCATTTGAAAAATGGTGTTTTATTTTCATAGCCTTAGCAGTTTCAGTTTGTGTTTTCATTTAAACGCTGAGGGATTTTTGCTTCCGCATTATTAAAAGCAAGCCTGTTTTTGTTCCAAGATTATGTTTGGCCATTAAGAACATTTGAGTGCCTGTTATTTACAAAGATGAATAAAATTTTTCTTTTATTATTTATATTTGTCTGAGCCCATTTTATTAAGTTGTATCCTGAATAATTTATACTGAGAAGGAATTACAATGATATGCATCAGCTGTCCTGAGGAGATTTTGGCGTGCCTTGGGAGATTAAGGCAGAGTTATTTTTATTAAGTATGGGCTGTCTATTGGGAGCAAGTATGTAAGGGGTAAATGAAGTTATTTAGACTGCAGGTATATGGGGTGTGTGTTAAAAAGTGTTGAGTGAACAGGTAGATGAAGCCAGAAGTAGTATAGTGGTTTAGACTAAGCATATAATTAGAGCCTGCAATCAAATTTATCATTTACATATTTTTATGACCTTGAACAAGTAATTCCTTTAGAATTTAGAATGGTGATTTACTAGGCTTGTAAGAAAAAGTTGGTATGGAAAAGAAAATTTTGTCTGCTGTTGGATATTGCAGGAGTGAGGGGGTAGGCAGTTAACTGAAAACCTAAGACTTTTATACAGTGAGTGCATATGAATGCCTATTACATGCTTAGATATTAACCAATGTACAGACAGACAAAATGCATCTGAAAAGGGATCATGGAGCTGAGGGTTTAAGAAGCCAGTCCTTGGAGAAAGTCTTGGGTAACAATACTGAGGCAGAAGGGTACTGGTGCAGAAACTGTAAGATGGGAAAGCTTAGCATCCTGGAGAACAGAAAAAAGTGAATTAGGAGTGGTGGATGGACCAGAACACAGGACCATGTATTCCCCTGGAAGTCATTGAAGGACTGCAAGCTGGTGAGTAACACATAGTTTATGACTTTTTACAAGCTCATTCTAAGTTGTGGGAGGGTGGGTGGTGGGTGGGTGGTATAAGGCAAGAAGAACCTGGCTCAAGACAAATGATGTTATGAATTGACTGGAAGGTCATGGGGGAAGTTAGGTGATACCAATCCTTTTTTAAGAAGCTCATTTGAAAGGCAAAAAGACTTGCAATTTTTACATGTGTGTTAGTCCCCACTGAACTGTTAAGACTTCAGGAAATGTTTATCAAGTATCTAGTAAGACATTGAGAGTTTATTATTATTTTTAAATACACAAGTCACTCTTCATTGAGTCTAAGAAGGATAAATGTTAACAAGAAAATGCCTCTAAAGGCAGTCAAGTTTGAAGAAAGGTAAACACCTTGCATTGTTGAGGGGAAAGGTGGCATTTGAACTAAGTCTTGACAGATTGTTAGGGCTTGGACAAGTTGCAAAGTGTTAAGAGGAAAGACTGGAAGACTCAACAGTAGAGAAAGGCCTGTGAATGAATTTGTGGAGAACAGGATAAGGTATTTAGAGGCTAACATGTAAAGGTCCTTGAATACCACATTAGAGATACCCATTTTTCTCTAGGAATTGAGTGCCTTCAATTCTTAGCATAAAATAACACTGACTGAAGCTCAGGTTTTGCACTTAGATGTCTTCAGAAGAAACCAAAATGTATGTATTTGCTTCACCAGAGGCTGCCACTGTTTCCTCATCACTGTTGGTCCAGTGATGAGCAGTAGGATTCAGGAACCATATTGGTCCTGACTGTTAGTGACTTGGTCAAGTTAAAACTAGATTTTTGTTCACCAGGGCTGCCTTAAAATGTTTTGAAAATCCTCTGTACCTCAGACTTTTATTTTCCTTGGTCACCTTCCTATAAATAACTTGATTTTTCTGCCATTTCTCCCCGTTGTAAAACATTGCTTCTCTTCCTCAATTGGTAATGCCGCACAAGTGTTAACTTCATATAACCGAATCCCCCTCTATTGGTGTTCTTCATAGAACTTTCCTGATAAGTGGTTCTCTACAAAGATACAGTTTAATAGTCGTCTGAAATGAGTGTGCTGTTCATTCTTCCAGATTACTTGTACCTAGACTTTGAGAGGATCAATGAGCTGCTCATTACCCAAACCAAACCATTACTTACAAATACATTTTCTCCATTTGGCCTTGTGACATTTTTCACCTACTGACTCCTGGAAGTTCCCCTTCATTGAAGTCTTTGTTGTATGTAATAGGTGCTAAATAAAATTTTTGAATGATAGTTTTTTCTCTTTGAAGAATATTGCTTATAGTGCCATACTACTGAAGGCTAAACCTTGCAAATGGACGTCTTGACGATGTATAAATTATACATTGTACATGTATAATGTATTACTATACTGTCGAAACATTTGCTGGATTCATGGTGCTGCAGAACAATTATTTGTAAGGATATAGTCTTTTATTCCCTCATTTGTTACACGTATCTTCAAACCTTTACATTATTCAGTGCCACCACACGTACTTTGATGACTTCGCTTCATAGTTCACTGAAGGTAGTAAAAGCCAAGGCCTTTAAATTTTAGATAACATAGTTATGAACCTGTATTTACACTGTTACTACTTTGGACTAAGTATCTATTCCTTAAGGAATTTTACTAGGCTCTGGAATCTCACCAACTCTTGCCCACCCCCTGCTTTTTTTTAAGATTCTGTTTTCTTAGAAGTGAAGGAAGGGTGAAAGGCATCATTTGTGAGATGAACATTGATTGGTTACCTGCTGAACGCCCCCAGCCGGGGATCTGGCCTGCAACCCAGGCATGTGCCCCAATTGGCAACCAAGCCCACGCTCTTTCTGTGTGCAGGCCAGCGCTCAGCCAACTGAGCCACACCAGCCAGGGTTCCACCTAATTTTTTAGAGCAGTTTTAGATTTACAAAATTGAGAGGAATTTTCAGGGATATCCTCTGCCCTCACGTGCGTAGTCCCTCATTGTCAATATCATTCACCTGATTTATTTTTTTAAACCAAGGGTGAGCCTACACTAATACCCCATAATTGCCCAAAGTCTGTAATTTATCTTAGGATTCATTCCTGGTAGTGAAAGTTCTATGGGTTTGGTTAAAAGTATATTCATCCATCAGTATACAGAGTGTTTTCAGTGCCCTGAAGTTCCTCTGTGCTTTGCCTATTCGCCTTCCCCACTCTCATCCTTGGCAACAACTGATTGTATTTTCTCCATAGCATTACCCTTTTTTTTTTTTCCCCAGAATGTCATAAAGTTAAAATCTTGTAGCTGCTTCAGATCGGCTCCTTAGTAATATGGATTTAAGGTTCCTCCATATCTTTTCATGGTTTGATAGTTCATTTATTTTTAGCACTGAAAAAATACTCCAATGGATGTACCACAGTTTATCCAGTCACATCCTGAAGGACATCTTGGTTTTTTCCAGGTTTTGGGAATTAAGAACAAAGTGACTCTCAACCATCTATGTCCAGGTTTTTGTGTGGACATAATGTTTTCAACTCCTTTGGGTAAATGCCAAGAAGCGCAATTGCTGGATTGTATGGTTAAAATATGTGTTTTGTAAGAAATTGCCAAGCTGTTTGCCAAAGTGTGTATCATTTTGGATTCCTGCCATCAATGAATCAAATTTCTTGTTCCGCCTCCTTACCAGCATTTAGTGGTGTCAGATTTTGGCCATTCTAATAGATACGAAGTGGTATCTTGTTTTAATTTGCACTTTCCTGATAACAACGTGGAGCAGGTTTTCATATGTTTGTATTTGCTTTGGTAAAATGTCTGTTAAAGCCTTTGGCTCAGTTTTTAATTGGGTTTTTTTTGTTGTTGAATTCTAAGAGTTCTTTTTATACTTTGGATATACAAAGTCTTTCATCAGATGTGTCTTGTGCAGATATTATCTCCCAGCCTGGCTTGGCTGCTTTGTTGACACTCTTTCACAGAGCAGCTCCTGCCTTCTTACTGATAGCTAGGTGATTTCTTTTGGTGGTTCTTCAATTTCTGTTCCTGTTTCTTATTTTTTTATAAAGACTCTTTTCCCTCGAATAAAACCTGAAATGACAAAGTGTAGGAATCAAGGATGATACTTAGGCTTCTCTATTTGGCTTAGAAGACCTTTCATAATCTGGCCCCTGTTTGTCTTCCCAGTTTCATTTCTTGCCATACCCCTTGGTACTCAGCTCAAGCTCTCACTTCTCTCTCCCTGAACACTGTATCTCCTCTTACCTGTTTAACTTTGTTGTTTCCTCACACTTCACCAAATTTTAGTTTAGAGGATATTTCCTCTTACATATCCTTGAGCCTTCATGATGACCTTCATGTGTGTGTTCATTGCACCAGCTACTTAATGTTGCCTCTTTGTACTGGACTGCAACCTCCTTGAAGGGAGGAGTGTCTTGTTGATTGCATTCCTAAAACCTAGCATACTGCTGAACGGTACTCAAAGAGAGGCACTAATATTTGCTGAATTCAACTAATCACTTCCCAGTAGTGGATTAATTGATTTCATCAAAGACTAAAAGTCCAGATAGGCACGTGCTTTTATTTGAACATTGTGCAATATAAATTTGACTCAGCTCTGCTGTTGTTTGGAGCAGGATCTTTAGAAAGTACTTATTGGCTAAAAAACTCTTTTCAAAGGTCTCTTGGACAGAACTGTTCTGAAAAACAATGTAATTTGTGTCTTTCCAGGAAGATGAGAAGGATTTTTGTAATGTAACTTTTCCTGTGGGATGTCTGCCAGAATAAAAAGCTCTGGTTTCCTGCATGATGAAAGATTAGCTCTTGTTTATTTATTTTTTAAAAGATTTTATTTATCTTTAGAGAGAGGGGAAGGGAGGGAGAAAAAGAGAGAGAGAAACATCAATGTGTGGTTGCCTCTTGAGCACTTCTCAGTGGGGATCTGGCCCGCAACCCAGGCATGTACCCTGACTGGGAATCAAACTGACAACCTCATGGTTCACAGGCCGGCATTCAATCCACTGAGCCGCACCTGGCAGGGCAGATTAGCTCTAGTTTAGAACAGAGGTAGGCTAGGGTAGGGATTGCAAACTAGAAGACCTGCAAGAACCAGATAATAAAAATGAGTGAAACAAGCCTATGGAGAGTGGTGAACTTGACTCTTCTAAATAAGGTTCATGCCATGTGTATGTTTGGTCAGGTTTGCCAAATTTCGTTTTTCTAGAGAAGTTAGAAATCTATATTTGACAAAAAGGTAGTCCCTGTTTTAAAAATTAAGACAAAACACTGTGAGCCAAAAATACCTGCAGGCCAGTGCTGCTGTCGGTTACCAGTGTGGAACTTCTTGGTTGGAAACTGATGTTAGTGGGGATCTACCTAGCAACTGTTACCTCCAGGAAACCCAGATAGTACCAGAGAGAAAGGTTTGATAATAGACAAGAAACAAATGATCTGTCTGTGGGGGTTAGCATGATGTCAGGGAGCAAGGCTGGTGCAGTTGAACCAGTAATTGGCCATGATGATTTAGCCGCAATTATAGTTTACAATAAACACAGGAATTAGTTCTGAGCATCAGTATTTCAGTTCCTAGAAGGATTTTTTTGTAATGCTGTACCCCAAGAGGATTGAGATCACAAAAGTAAAACTTAAAAATGCAGTGAAGATGTTTGGATGGGAGAGGGCACATCTTGGAAATAGTCACAATAAGTAAGTATATTATTTTGGTGTTGGAAAAAGGTTATTCTACCTCTGGTTTATAGTGCTTGGCACTTGTACAATAAATGTTTAAGATTTTATTTATTTAGTTTTAGAAGGGAAGAGAGGGAGAGAAACTTGGATTGGCTGCCACTCACATGCCCCAACCGGGCGGTGGCGGGGGACAGGGGGTCCTGGCTCACAATCTAGGCCTGTGCCCCAACCAGGAATCAAACAGGCAACTTTTCAGTTTGCAGGATGATGCCCAGCCCACTGAATCACACCAGTCGGGGCACAGCCCTGATTTTTAATCAG